GTTTAAAATTTGTTCTATTCCACATTTATCCCTGTACAGGACAAACATGACTGAGACTTAGGTATGTTCTTTCTGGTCAGTGTGGTATGTTATGGGGGTTTGTTTTATGGTTTTTGGTCTTCTGTTTAATCCCAAGTTTTTGGACAGCTCTTAAACTAAGGTTTAACTTCTCATTTTATCCCTGCACTGGAACAAGAAGTATAGGTGTGTTCTTCGTAGTCAGTGTGATTTGGCATGGGTGCTTGTTTTATGGTATTTAGTCTTCTGTTCCATTACAATTTTGTTGGATATATGTTAATTTGGAATTTAAAATCGGGTTAACTTCTTACTTTACTGCTGTTGATAGGTTGTACTTGTATTGTGTTTCTATGGGTGGAATGACTGTATGATGCTGTGTTGGTCGTGTCAAATCATCTCGTGACAGTATTTTCTCTAAGGATCGAGTATGGTTATCTCACTGTATGTACTTTTCTTACTCCAATGTATACTATGAAACTCCATAGAGCCGCTGAACAATCGCAGTTGGCCTGTTTTAGTGCCGCAATCATATTCCCAACATTGTTAAGGAAGAGTTACGCTTCTTGTTTATTAGGTCTATATTCTAGGTATTGATTCCGTGGTGACTATGTTCTGAAAGTGGCTTAGGAATGCACTTCAGTGGTATATTGATATGTTGTTTTTGGCACTTTTTTCATTTATGCATTTGGACCAGGGGAAATGTTACTGCTTGTTTAATTAGGTATGGCCTATTTCTCAGGTGGGTGATGAGGTAGAGTATCGTCATGGTGGTGGTTACTTGCTAAAATAGGGGTTAGGGTTCCATTTTGGTTGTGTTTTGATTTGGTGTTCCAGACTCTCCTTTCCGTTTGTAAACAAGTTATATCTTTCTCTCTCCGTGTTTGGTGACTGTTGTCATTGAAATAGAATGCAAGAGCTGGTACATGGGACTAATTTTGTCACTTAGTCTTCACCATTACAGGGTATGTAGTAAGCTTCTAATTTTGATCTAAAAACTGTTGTGTATATACTTTGATTGTTTTTGTAACATCGTTGAGATTGTTTCCAGTGTTATCCTTGCTTGGGTGTTATTACTACTGCCGAAAAACACTACTGCGACTGTCAGTGCGAGGTTTGGTATTTTTATGCAGTTTGGTTTTAATGGTATATCTTCTGTTACCATTTGCCAGCATTGGACTGTGATCTTTCAGTATTTATCATCCTAACATATGATTTGTCCTTTTATGATTTATGCTCTCTATGTGACCTTATGCAGCCACCAAATATCTAATAATATGGCTTTTTTGGGTCAAGGGGAAGGAAGGTAGGATGGGGTGTCATGACTTTTGGTGTTCATTTTGTTTAGTTTAGTAGAGATTAAAAGAATAATGAATATGAATCCAAGTATAGCAGCACTGTTGACAAAAGATTTGAATGAATATGAATCCAAGTATACCCTAATCGGGAAAATGATTACTCTGGAAGTCGAGAGCTCTGACTCAATCAATAATGTGAAATCAAAGATTCAACTGGCAAGGGCTGATCTTTGCTGGGAAACAATAGGAAGATGGTCGAACCTTGGCGAACTATAACATTCAGAAGGAATCGACCCTTCGTTTGCTGCTTCGTCTGCGTGGTGGGATGCAAATTTTGTGAAGACCTTGACTGAAAAAACTCTATCCTTGTTGAGGTGGAGAGGTCGGATACCATTGATAACATTACAGCGAAAAATTGAGGAGGGGATTCCACTGGACCAGCAGAGGTTGATTTTTTCTGGGAAGCAGGTAACTACGACATACAGGAGTCGTCAACCCTGCCCTTGGTCCTCCGTCTCTGTGGTGGTTTCCGAGTTTGATGACGGTAATGATGTTCTTGGCCTTGCATCTTGTTCTCTACGTGATTATGTGTTAAATGGTGTTTTAAAACTGTTTCTCTAAAATTTAATTGGCCAACGGGCTTCTGTTTGTGTTGGTGGCATGGCAGCAGTCTATACCCTAAGTGCATTTTATGAAATAAATGTTCTTGAATCTGTACTCTCTCCCTACTGTGTGTAGCTTAAATTTTAGCTCTTGTTTTCTCAGTATGGAACACTGGCATTCACCCTTTTCAAGATTGATGAATGTGAGATTTTGTTTTTGCAAGCATGTTGCAGTTCTTCCTGCATTTAACCATTCTATTCTCGACTTGTTTCGACTTTGCATTTACCATTTTTACGATGTTCTATTATCAAAATATTTTCGAGCGTGTTGGCCTTTATAAAGTGATGGTCTATCGGGAGGGATTTTTGGTTCTTCTTGCTTTCACTCTTTCTACAGGATCTGCTTATCAAAGTTATGAAACAAATGGAAAAGGAGGGATTTCTGGTTCTGCTTCTAGGTCACTAGGATTACTTCAGCTGCATCTGAACATGTCACACATTCTTGCTTATTATAAGTAAGCTCTTATCTATGATTTATTGTGAAGAATTCCTTGTCAGATAGTTACAAGTCATGCTTTGATCATGGCTATACACGTTAGCAGCAAGATTTAGGATGTGTGTGTGTGTGTGTGTGTGTGTGTGTGTGTGTGTGTGGTGGTGGTGGTTATATCCTGTGTGTCTATGATAGTTGTTGCTAGATCTTGTGTCTATGATGGTGTTTGGAGAGCTGGTCTATAGTGCTATTGTAATTGGTGGTGCGTGATAGCAGCCAACAGGTTTTCTTTTGTGGTTATTACTAGTATCTTTAACTTGCAGTTTCCCCATTAGTGGACGTTTTCTGGAACACTGCTGATTAATCATCCTTAAGTTTTGTTTGAATGGATTGTTGTTGGTACTGTTTTCATTATTATTGTTGCCATCATTTTAACTCTGTTTAGGACCACCTTGTATGAACTTGAGGTATGTTCTTTCTGGTTGATGTGGTTTGTCACGGGTGCTTGTGCGAGGTAGTGAGGATTAAAATCAGTTCAAACTATTCACTTTATCCTTGTATAGGAGCGACATGAATAAGTCATAGGTATGTTCTTTGTGGTCAGTGTGATTTGGAATGGGTGCTTGTTTTATGGTATTTAGTTCCAATTTTGTTGGATATATCTTAAATTAGAGCTTTAAATCGGTTTTTAACTTCTTACTTTACTGTGGTTGATAGGTTGTATTGTCTTTGTAAAGGTGGAGTGGTTATCAGGTTCTGTGTTGGTCATGTTATGTCATCTGTGAGTTTGTGACCGTCTGAGTTGAAACATGAACGAAGGATCCGGTATGGTTATATCTAGAGTTTTTCATGTTGATCTTTTAGTGTGTGCGTATTTCTTACCCGGATGCTTAACATAGAACTCTATGGAGGCGCTGAATAATTGTAATCATGCTAATTTTTTGTGCCGTAATCTTCTTCCCAACATTGTTAAGAAAGAGTGATGCTTCTTGTTGATTTAGGTATAGTTTATTTCCTAGGTGAGAAGGTTCAGATTGTCATGGTAGTGATTATGGTCTGAAAGTTACCTAGAATGCATTTTAATGTTAATATCGATGCGGTGTTTTTTATTCATGTTTTTGTTTATGTTGTTGGGCTAGTACATGTTCTTTTGGTAGTAGAAGTTTTGCTTGGGCAGTGTTTGTTTAATTAGGTATTTAGCCTATATGCTAAGAATTGGGTTAGGGCTGCATTTTGGTGATCTTGATTGTGGTGTTCTGGACTCTCCTCCTGGTTTCTAAACTTGCTCTCTTTTACCATTTAGGGCTTTTTATTTTTATTTTTTTTAAATGGCAAGAATGTTAGGAGTTAGAGGTTTAGTGGGGAGGGGGAAAGGTGCAAAACTTGAACACGGGCTTCCGGACACGGGGAGTAATCCATCCACTCAGACAACACCACACTTGCAGAGTTGCTTTCGGTGCATTTCATTATTCTTTACATCTTCAAAATAGAAGATCGAAGGTTCAAATTGCATTGGGACAAATGTGAGCGCACCGTGTTTGGCCAAGCAATGTTATTGTCTTGTGTTTGGTGGCTGCTGAGGAGTGTTGTCAATGATATAATGCAGCAGCTGGTACATGGGATTAACTGTGTCACATTATTTGGTTAATAGTCTATGGTAGGGTCCTAGATTTGATCTAAAACTGTGTATTCTGACTGGTTTGGTAACAATTTTGAAATTGTTAATGAAGTCAGTTTTATTGTTAGTTTGTTACAACTACTGAATTTTTTATAAACTGAAAACACTAATTAGTATATGATGTGACTAAACACAAGTCTTCAAATTCCATTGGAACTCAACCTTCAATATTTTAGAACCAAAAAAACAAAAAAAAAAACCCTAATCCTACTTGACCGTCGAAATTGCACAATTGAATGATATTATGAGGAAAAAAACAAAGGTGGGTCTGCAATATACATTTTACCTGTGAGGTAAAGGGGATAATTGCGATTTTGCGACTTTTGTCCAATAACAACACTAATAAACATGAAGACTAATAAACAATGAAGAGTTGGAAAATTAAAATAAGGAAGGTTTTTTATTTTTATTTTTTTTCATTGATAAAAAATTCACCACGTACCCATTTTTCTTCATGGGTACTCAAACCCTCCACGATGGGAAAAAAATAAATATATAATAATAATACCACTAGAACTTTATTTTATGTGAGTTATCACATCTAAAAATAGAATTTGAACTGCTTTTATTTCAGACACACAAGAAAACTAACCAATCATTGAATACGGGAGTTGTAAAATTATTTAACATGTTTTTTAGAAAAAGTTTAACAGTTCAAGTCATCCTGATAGAAAAGAAAAAAAATTGTTGAAAAAGTAATGTTCATTCCTATTTACTTTCTTAAGGATATATCATTTGTGAGAGTAAAAAATACTAATTTATTTTGAAAATATATTTTTCAATCTTTTCTTATTTAAAAAAAAAAAAAAAAAAAAACCACATACCTCAAACGTTGAAGCTAAACCACATATTTTTCAATCTTTTCTTATTTTTTAAAAAAAAAAAACTCTTTCAGGATTAAACTCTTGACCTTCCAGTGAAAAGCCGCGTATTATTAACCTTGGCCGCTTCGAATAGTATGTCTAAGCCAAAAACCCTAAGCCTATGTGTAAACCAGAAACCCTAAAACCTATCATCAGCATAGAGAGGGACGGCCAACACAAACCCTAGAAACAACACTGTTTAACAACCTCTCCCCAAACCCCTCAAAATTGTCCTCTCTCGTTATCAAATGAAGACCATATCAGGGAAAATCGTATCGACAAAGCCAATCTCTCTCTCCAAAGCAGCTAAAGTCCTATCCGCCTTCGTTACAGCCGACACCGGAGCTTCACACGCTGTGTCCACATACCTCAAACGTTCTTCCGACTCATTCAACGAGTTGGTTCTCTTTCACAAGGAGCTCAAAGCTTCTCGCAAGCACAAGAAACATCAACCACAGAGTGTAAGCAATGAAACCCCCAAAATTTCTTATCCAAACCCTGAAGAAACTGAATTAAGGCCAAATGTTGAAGATGCTGTGCGAAAGACAGATAAGAAGAAGAAGATTTCTAAGCTAAATTCTGAAGAAGCCGAAGCCGAAGTCGAAGCGGGGACTATTATTGAACATGCTGTGAGAAAAATTCAGGAGGAGAAGGTTTCTGAGCTAAACTCTGAAGAAGCTAAAGTGGCTACTCGCATTGAAGGTAGTGTGAGAAAGAGCTTGAAGAAGAGGATGCATTTTACTTATAAAGAAAAAAGTTATAAGAAGAAGATTACTACGCTACACCCAGAAGCGGAACCAGGGACAAACAGTGAAGATGGTTTGAGAAAGAGAGAGGAAAAGAATACTTTTGAGCTAAACCCTGATGAAGTCAAAGCCAAAGCCGACGCCGAATTGGGGCAAAACGTAGAACATAGTGAGAAAAAGAGGGATAAAAAGAAGATGGCTGACCCAAATTCTAAAGAAGCTGAAGTGGTACCAAAGGTTGAAGATAGTTTGAGAAAGAGGGATAAGAAGAAGATTTCTGAGGTATCCCCTGTAGAAGCTGAAGCAGGGCTGAATGTTGAAGATTGTCCAAAGGTTGAAGACGGTGTGAGAAAGAAGGATAAGAAGAAGATTTCTGAGGTATCCCCTGAAGAAGTTGAAGCAGGGCGGAATGTTGAAGATGGTGTGAGAAAGAGGGATAAGAAGAAGGTTTCTGAGGTATCCCCTGAAGAAGTTGAAGCAGGGCCGAATGTTGAATATGGTGTGAGAAAGAGGGATAAGAAAAAGATTTCTGAGTTATCCCCTGCAGAAGTGGGTCCAAAGGTTGAAGATGGTGTGAGAAAGAGGGATAAGAAGAAGATTTCTGAGGTATCCCCTGAAGAAGTTGAAGCAGGGCAAAATGTTGAAGATGGTGTGAGAAAGAGGGATAAGCAAAAGATTTCCGAGGTATTCCCTGCAGAAGCTGAAGTGGGTCCAAAGGTTGAAGATGGTGTGAGAAAGAGGGATAAGAAGAAAATTTCTGAGGTATCCCCCAAAGAAGCTGAAGCAGGGCCGAATGTTGAGGATGGTGTGAGAAAGAGAGAGAAGAAGAAAAAGAAAAATACTGGAAATGTAGAAAGAGCTGGTGAGGGTGATTTAAGAATCGGGGAGGGTGAGAGGAAAGAAAGGAAGAAGAGGAAGAGTGGGCAGATTGACGAGGAAGAGGTTGTTGATTCGCCGGAGCAGAGTGGTTCAAAGAAGAGGAAGAAGAGAAGGAAAATTGAAGGTAATAATTAGCGTTGGTGTACAATTTTGCAATTTGTATTGGTGATGTTGTTGGTTATAGGGGGTGATTGGAAGGGGTAACATTTCTGGGGCAATCAATGGCTTGCAATCTTTTGATAAACACTCTGGTGGTAATGTTTTTCGTGTAATGAAAATTTTCTTTTTAATTTGTTTTCTGACCTATACACTGAAATGAAATTTAGGTGATGGTTTATGTTGTGCTTTCTTCAAATTTGTATTAATGCAAACTATTATTTGAATTTCGAATAACAATATCTAGCTCAATGCCATTGTCATAAGAAAAGGCGACGATAATTGTACATATAGAAACCATGTACTACCTCATGAAACAATGGCGAGATCATATTGCATTATTGTTGCAAATTAACAATCACGGTATAGCATATCAAATCTAAACTGTGCCCAGTGTTGGAAAGTTTGCTTTACTCACAATGATTAATCAACCTATAGTTGCAATTACACTTGGACATCTGCTTCAGATGTTTGTTCTGTTTCACAATGGAAGCATCTTTGATTGTTAGATGCTAATGGATGTAATTGTTAGAAAGGACATCCCTAGCTGAGCAACAAGGGAGCTGAAAATTTGAAATAGTTTGAAGGTGTGAAATTAAAGGAGATCATTAATTGCAAGCGATGCTTGTGCATTTCTTCCAGCCTTTTAAAGTGTGAATCTACAAGCTTTGCAGGCTACATGCGTTTGCTGAATAATCTATTATTATAGATGGTGCTTCTCTTAATCTTTTTCAAGTATTTGCCTTTACATCAAGAGTTTTCACTTGTAACTCCCTTATGTTCTGTTATGAACATTTTGTTGTTGGCTAAATTTTTTAAATATCTTGCTTTGAAATATACTTATTTGCATTAGTTTCTGATGAAGAAACTAGTTGGGAGGGCAAAATAATTGTTGTCTTAACCCATGAGTTTTTCGAGCGACAACCCAATTGTCTTGACCCACAATTCTCCGGGAACTGAAACATGGGACATGTTGATTGGTGGATTAAATCCTTAACAATGCAGGTTGTAGCTTGTGCATTTTTTAATTCAAGAATTTCAAATAATTACTTTCTCCTTTTTTCTATTTTATATTCACCAGGAGCCAATTTCTGAGTAGTTTGGTTTGGTAGAGCATTGTCACAACGTAAGGATAGTGTCTGAGACACTCAGGTTTCTGATTCCTGTGTGAGGATTTTATGAAGTGAAGAATTTTGTATTGCTAGTTAGCTTGTTAAAGAATGTTGCTTTGTAATGAATTGCAATACTGCACTGAACTTTTGGGGCATTCACATAGTTTTGTTTGAAATCGATTATCAGGGTAATCTTCAGAGATTCAATCTGGAGCTTTTTGGTAGATGTTGAATTGTCCAGCTTTGCACTGTTTTCATAAAATGATACTTCAAATGTTGATATTCAAAGAATCGTGTATGAATTTCTTAGAGGCATGTGTTCATTTTTGTATGTACTGATTGCAGCTCTGTAATTGTTTTCTTCTCTCTATTCTTCCTGAAGCAAGTACAGACTATGGTTACTTGGGGGAAAAAAAAGGTTACAAGCTATGGTTTTTCTTTCTTTCTTCTTCTTCTTCTTCCCCATACCTTGTTCATGAACTTTATTGTGCTAATAAAAACTATCTGTGAAACTTTACATGATGCCTGGAACATCATCCACCAATTTGTGTGTAGTGGCACCATTTCAGTGGTTGACACCATGGAGAACAGTAAATTGATCAGTTCTTGGTCCAGACATACGAGTTTATCAGATATATATGTTCTTTTGTGTTGCCCCAACCTTTTGGCCTAGTTCCGTAATTGTTTTCACAGTTTTCCTTTCTTTCTTTTCTTTTCCTTTTTCTTTTTATTTTGGTGGGAATTAGGGTACTGGGATTGATTTTTTTCTTCTTTCTTTTTCTTTCATGCCTACCTTGTTCGTAAAATTTATTGTGCTAATAAAATCTCTGTGAAAACTTTTCATGCTGCCTGTACATATTACTCTGTGATTTCATAGTGAGACCAGCTTGTGCATTTAACTAAATTTTATTGAATTTCAATTCATCCTCATGTCTTCTGCTTTGGTAATTTTTCATATCTCACGCAATCAGCTACATGCACTTCTCCTTGATGGTGATATCATCGAAATAGAAAATCTTTGAACTAGTCCTCCCTATAGTCGTAGAGACTACTCTGGGACAATCCCTTTTACCCTCTTTCACACACACACACACACACACACACACACAAACAAACAAACACGTTATTGTATTTATGCATCTGTTGTAATCAGTTTAACTTAAGAATATTTCTTTACTAAGATGTCTAATATGCCTAAAGCGCCCTTTACCGGTGAAGATTTTATCAATGAAAGCTAAAATTACTGGGGGGAACCAAATTTTATCTTGTTGCCTGTAGCATACTTTGTTCTGAGATTTCTCTTTCACAACAACAGATATTGTCACAAAGCTCTGTAATTATATCCCTGATGTAAAAAGAAATTATCCATGTTACTGGTTCAGGCTTAAAGTTTGACCAAGGATACTACTACCAGGTGATGCGTGCTTCGGGGTAAAGGAAGGCAGAGCTTTAAGGTTTCATTTCAAGGCTACGTTGCTTTGAACAGGAAGGAGGTCAGTTGATTTGTTTTAAATTTTACAAAAATAATTTTTCTTTTATATTATTTTGAAACTCGGCTTTGACAATGTCTCTCTAACTCTGTTTCGGACACACATATATGATATATACAACATAAATGTTGTGGAAAATTGATTGGTCTTTCTAATGGACCTGTGAAAAACTGGATAATCTCCCATATTTTGGCTAGTTCAACCTTCAATATTAGAACAACACTAGACTGTATTTTATTTGCTTAAATTGTTATTTTTTTCTATTAATAAAAATCTCTCTTTTTTTTTCCTCTCTATTTTTAGTCTGTTTTTGACTAGTGCAAAGAAAACAGCAACAATTAGGAATAGTGACATGGTTCAATTGAATAATTTGATAGAGGAAGTGATGATAAGGAAAGAGGATGACCAAAATTACCCGTTGTTAGTAAGGAAAGGTATGATAAGGTTATAGCGTTATATGGAGAAGAATGGAAAAATTAGATACATGTAACAAAACCCAAGTAATTGGAAAAGGGCTTGTTGAGTTGAGAATCTGTTTTTGCCAACTTGCTGTAGGCAGTTGAAGTGGCTGGTCTAACCGCTGATCCTTTTACAGTTAGGTTTATTTGAGTAGTGATATGTAAAAGCATACCCTTGCCTTTGCTGCCCTTGCTTGCCCCCTATTCGTTAAGCCTATATTTGGTTCAAAGAAACCTTGTCTTCGCCCTCCTATGCCACCAACAGGCCTTAATTTTAAGCCTTATGCCAGATTGAGACCAGAATGTAATTGTAGTGATCAAAAGACTGTATAACAGTCTTAAAAGAGATGATTTCCTTAACAAGAATACGATCATTGAGCATGTGCCATGTTACTTAAATGTAAGAAGATCATGAATGAATTAGGAGTGAGCTCACTTCACCTAAAGCAATTTGTTTAGAATTGGCAAATGACATGTTAGAGGTTAAAGATTTCTTTTTGTTGATGAAACAATACCATTAACTCTTTTTCTCTCTCTCTGGATAAACACCATGGATTCTAAACTTTAACATCCATCCTCCTTTTTATTATTTTTTTTGGAGGGGGAAAGATGATAAAGGAAGAGAACTTCCTAAAAATTTTAATGGCCAATTTGGTGACATCGTCAACGTGTTTCACTTTAATTTGGTAATAAAAATTTTAGTTCTCTTTTGTATTCTCTTGAATGCTTTTAGTCTTTTGTTCTTTTCTTCTGTAATAATCATTCTATTGAACCTTTAAACGTAAACGTAACAGCTTAAATCTCGTATATTATAAAATACGTAGATCAATTATGAGATCATATAACTCAACTGATAAAATCTAGCCATAGCAATGAAAACAAAAAGGATCAAAGAGATTATTACAAAAGTAACAAGGTGCTTTGCCCTAATTAAAAGAAATCATCTCTAATAAAGCAAAAGAGTATAAGTAAAAGGTAAGCAACCCTTTATACAGAAGAATTACATCTTAGGCACAAAAGAAAATCTTTAATAAATAGAATCTTTGCTTGTGAATTTTGAGAGAGAGAGAGAGAGAGATTGCTACTTTACTTTCGAGTCAGTGAAGAAAGGAATGAGCGACCAAAAAAAAGAGGATGGGCTATAAATGGCATTGAGGGTCTGATTGATATTTCTAAGCACTTATTTCTCGAGATTTGTGCTTGAAAAGATCAAGAAGAATGAAGTATTGCAGAGGATGGATCTCTCTGTTATTCATTGCTCTCTTTTTTGCTTTTGGCTTTGGTTCAGAGATTTATGTACCCTCAGATGCAGAAAGTCTCCCACCAGAAAAGAAGGTACTGAAATGAAACCGGTAATTAGAGCCCAACCCTAACTTTTTTTTAATGCTCTGGCTGGTTAGTAATGGGCACCAAGCACCACTACAGCTGGTGTCACTAACATTCCTGAAACATCATTCCAAATTGTGCTACCCAAAGCTTGCTAGTTTTGCAAAAAAGTCTGATACAATGGTAATGTGTTATAATCGTGATTTTGATTTCAGCGTTTACTTTGATCTTACTTAATTATGAGTCTAAAAATGTTTATAAAATCAGGAGACAGTTGTGCATGCTTTATATGCGCATCATTTTTTAAATATTTTGTATGTGATATGCATATTTTTCTCCCAATGCTGCAGGAAAATTGTACATACGCGGTAACAATTGAAACGACGTGTACCAAGGGAGCGGAAACATCAAACCATGTCAGCTTGAGGTTTGGCGATACAAAATCGAATGACATTTTGGTGCGACACCTCAATTCCAAGCACACAAGGTGGGTTGATCCATTGGAGCCACAAGTTCTGGACGATGTGCCCAGAAAACCATTTCAAGCGTGCATGGTAGACCAGTTCCAAGTTACTGGTCAATGTGTGGAGTCACCCGTTTGCTACCTGTACCTTAAATTGACCGGAAATGACGATTGGAGACCGGGTTTTGCCCAAGTCCAGGTGTTAGAGGGGTCTCATCTCAGCTCAAATTATTTCTACTTCCGGCGGTATTTGCCCCGGCATGTGTGGCATGGCTCCGATGTGTGTGACAGTGAGGTCACTCCTTTTGGGATCAAGTTCAACAGGAAGGTCTTTGGAAAGAAGCATGTTAAACCATTGTTGCCATAGGAATACCATCTTATGCTGCTTGTATTAGGTTTCTGTTCCCTTTTGCTCTCTCACGTTGTATTTATCATGTAGCATTCTATTTGGAGATGGTGTTAGTTATACCATTGATGATGATATTAGCCTAACTTGAAGAGATATATATATATATATATATATATATATATATATAAAAGGGGAAAATCAAAGACACCAGAACAAACTATTGGTACAGAAATGAATCTTAATTATTATTATTATTTTTAATTTTAATTTTAATCAAATGGCATTATTAATTGGTTTTGAAGTTTGAACCCTTACCCTCTTCCGATTTAGGTTTTTATTTTTGTTTTTTAAGACTCATCCTATATCCTTAACATTAGACCAATTGTTTATTTGTGGTCAAATTTTAAACTGAAATCCGGTGAAACTGAAGAGGAAATGCATCTGATTAACAAATTTGGGTATTTAGGAATAAAATTTACTGCATTATATCGATTTTTTTTAAATTATTTTTATATAAAAAAAGTAAAAATAAAAAAATCTTACCAATGGTCATAAATGAAGATGTTCCAGAGCCGTCTTGTCATACGTGAACATTTCTTATTTTCTGAAGCAAAAATGAACATTTCACGTGATACATCATATCAATGTTTCATGGTGGTACATCATATCCCAATTGAAGGACTGAATCAAGCCTGCTTCTTGTTTATTCCTCCAGCTGAAAAGGTGAAGGTAATTTAATACACACTAATACCACTTTTTATTATTATTATTATTATTATTATTTCCCCAAGTACATTAATAACACTTACTTAAAAGGAATTGGGTTTTTTAGAAATTTCTACCTAAATCGTTCAGAACCAATTAATAACGAGATTTTAAAAAATATACAAGAGGTGGGGTTGTAATATCAATGAACCCAAATTTGTTTTGCATGATATTTTCCTTAGTAACTTCTGGATTCTTAGCGGCACGAAAATTTTCGGATGGATGTTATTAAGATATGTTTGGATGATTGCATATATTCGGAGTTTACAAATTATTCGATAATTCAAAGTGATTAGGGTAATTGAATGAGTTGATTCATATTTTTATTATTTGAAAAAAAAAAAAAAAAAAAAAAAAAAAAAAAAAAAAACCCAACCTGACTTCCTCGCATAACCTGATTTTTAGAATTTGACTCATTTTTTTAGAATGATTCATTTGACATATATCAAAATAATTCATAATTTTTTTCCCTCCAAATAAAGAAAATTTTAATTAAAAACAATAATGTACTAATTGAAAGCATTTTGTAAGGACGAGAACTAGCAAACAATTAACCGTTGAAAATGTCGAATCAAACACAGTTTTAAGAATTTTCAATAAATTCTTACTGTCTGTTGGCCCAAAAAAGAAGAAAAAAAAAAAGAATCCATTTAAAGCATAGAGTCTATATATATATATATATATATATATTCACTGAAAAGAAAAGCTTCAAGTCTACAAAACAATGACCAGCTGATAATCAGTTTTACCTGTGAATTGAATCTTTTCAATCCTCCACATCTTCTAATCAAACAATGAACCATTAAACCCTTATCTACCCCATAAACTTGAGCATTACAAATATTTATACTGAAAGTACAAGTCCTAAAAATTGAACTACCAAGCAACAATCTCTTAAAAACATGCAAAATTTAGGAGCAATTAGGCCCCACAAGATTAAAGAGTCCATAAGAAATCACAACAATCCGAAAACAAAATTCCCCAAAAAATTAAGAAAATTACCAAAAAAAAATATATATATATATATATATATATATATATATATATATATGAAAAGAAAAAAAAATGTGAACATGGACCGACGCAAAAGAAATTGAATTAGCTAAAAAGTAACTTTTCTTTGTGGCAAAGTTATGAGTTTTGTTCAACCCAATATTTTTTCTTACGAGAAAGTATAGAATATTCTGTTTGTATTGTGATACCTCCGATTCTCAATTGAGAATCATGATGGTTCATTGGCTGGGTGGAAGTACCATATGGTAAGTACCTTCGAATATTGTATATTTTTTTTATTTTTTTATAATGACTTCTACACATACTTTGTACAATTTAACCCCTACCAATTTCAATCCATTTAATAGTGTTGGAGTGCTATAACAAGATATAATATGTTGCAAAAGTATTTCATCTTATATACACAATTTTTTTTTTTATTTTTTTTTTTTAAGGCAAATGGTAATCACGCATATACCCATATCTCTAAGGAGGGTCGAACCTTGACCTTCCCTTTGGAATAGGAGGGCCTATACCTCTACGCGGTTAGTGAAAAAAATTATTTAGGCCTTTATCATCTTTTACATATTTAGGCTTTGTTTGGATTTGAATGATTTGGAGATCAAGAAAAAGAAAAGAAAAGATAGGGAGGATTGTGTTTGGGAGCTTTAATGAAAAGAAAAGAAATGATAGAGAGAGAATTATCTTTCCAAAAGTGAAAAGATTTGAATAGAAATGATAAAGTGTTGATAAAACTTTCATAATACCAAAAATAACCCTAATATCATAAATAACAAAATTAAAAAGACATTTGGGTCCATAATAATTATTAGGGCGTATAATGTTTATTCATTCACGGTTCCATTGCCATTGGTTTACTGAATACTGCATTAGAAAAAAAATAGATGAATTGTAGAGAGAGAGGAGGGGGAGATGTTATAAATTTGTCTAAAATTTATTTATGACGTGGTAAAAATGTTTTGGCTAAAGAAGTGTGATGGTTAAACTTCCAAATTAGCTTCCGAATGAAGGTTTGAAATTCTTAGACAGCAAGAATTATTCTTGGGCAATAAGTGTTATTTGGCTTTCAAAGGAAGCTTTGTAATATACTTGGATACCAAGTATATTTTTGGCTATAAATAGCCTTGCATTCATTTGACGAAAAACATCCGAGAGGCATCCAAGAGTAAGACAATATTCGGATCAAGAGAGTATATTGGTCTTGTGTGTATAAGAAAATCATTGTGTGTATAATGTTCAAGAGAGAATTAAAGTTTGTATTTGGGTGGATTTTTCTATTTGTGTAAACCATATACTATTTGGGATATTTCTTCTTTGTTGGTGAGTGAGTGGTGTGAGAAGAGAGATTATTGTGAGAAGGAACCAAAACATTCTTCAATTTGTAATATTCTTCTTTATAGTGATACGAATAATCATCGCTCGTGGACGTAACTCTATTTGTGAGGTTAAACCACGTATAAATTTTTTTTTGTTGGAGATGATGATGACATTATTTTTATTACTCATATTGTGTTGAAGAAAGACTCTTTATGATGTTGTCTTATCATTTCTACTAAGGCAGATAACTTTTGCCAAGGATGAAGTTTTGTGGCTCATTCAAAATTTTTGCCAAGGTGGAGAATTTTAGTCAAGGTGGAGATTTGTTACCAATTTGTCTAAAATTCATTTATGACATGGCAAAAAAAAAATATTTTGGCTAAAGAAGTGTGATGGGTAAGCTTCCTTCTTAGCTTCCGAAGGAAGCTTTGAAATTCTTGGGCAACAAGAATAATTCTTGGGCAGCAAGTGTCATTTGGCTTCCAAAGGAAGCTTTGAAATATACTTGGACACCAAGTATTTTTGGGCTATATATAGCCTTGCACACATTTGATGAAGGCATCCAAGAGTAAGATAATATTCGGATCAAGAGAGTATATTGGTTTTGTGTGTGCAAGAAAATCATTTTGTGTGTACAATCTTTACGAGAGAGTTGAAGTTTGTATTTGAGTGGGTTTTTCTATTTGTATAAACCATATACTATTTGGAATATTTCTTCTTTGTTGATGAGTGAGTGGTGTGAGAAGAGAGATTATTGTGAGGAAGAACCAAAACGTTCTTTAGTTTGTAATCTTCTTCTTTATAGTGATACGAATCATCATCGCCCGTGAACGTAACCCTATTTGTAAGAGTGAATCACGTATAAATCCTTGTCTCATTTGTGTGTGCCTATTTTTATTTTCTTATTATTTATTTTTCTCTTATTCTCATAAACTCTTATTCGATCTTTATTTCATAATAGGAGAGGTGATCGGCAAAGGAGGAGAGAAAGACTATAATATTTTTCTATTTTATAAAATATAATATTAAATTGGCTTACATGGTTTCTTTTCTCTACTCTTCTCTTATCTCTTATCCAATTTCAAGAATGCTATAATAATAATAATAATAATTATTATTATTATTATTTCTATTTCACCCAAACATAAATACATGTTATTATTATTTTTTCTTTTCTTTCGTAATTAAAGGGTTGTTGTTGTTTTTTTTTTTTGCGTAAATGATGAGTTGTTTTTTTTTTTTGCATAAATGATGAGTCGGGGGTTGTTAGATGAGTGTTATATCAATGTCTGTAATGTAGCGTATTGCACTACGATGGAACTGTGTTAATTTAATAGTGGACAGAATGAGAATGAGGGACAGGGACAGGAGGGGTGTTGGTCCGAACTATTGAATAAAGTGAGAGGACGGACTCCCTTTCATCCAACGAGTAAGAACCGACAACCCTCTATAAACTACTCCGTAGAAAGAAAGTAGTTTTGAATTTAAAGGTAGAAAGTAGCTTGAATTTGATTATGATACAAAGCATTTAGTGGTACGTGTTACCTTTTGTAATGTTTAAATGGAGTGTTCAGAAATTAGTGTGATGACAGAAGAAGGATAAGATCATCAGAGCTCCAGAGACAAAAAAGATAGAATCTGCATGCATTTGTGCTTCTCTAACCTTACTTTTTTCTGTGGACTAATTAAGGGATGGAGATAGAGAGAGAAGTGAGAGTTGACTTTTGTGCTTATGAATGAGGCATTGGATGATAATTTGGCAGAATAGATTCTCCAAATATAATGTGTGTGCAAGTACATTTTTATCTATATAATACTTTTACGATGCGTTCGTGTCAAATATCAGATGTAGATGTTTTTCCGAATAGTCGTGAATATGCGTCCAATAAATTTAAAATATATTTTTTAATTTTTAACATGTATTTGATACTTTAACTACGTATTCAATACTCTTCTTATGTATTTGATAACACGTTTTTTTAACAAGTTTTGAATATTTTAAAATGTAACTTTTCTAATAATAATATTATGTGTTGTGAAACAAACTCTTACATTAAATGGAGTGCATGCCCGTGTTGGGTTCTATAGATTCATAATATTACAGGGAATTGATATAACAAAATTGTATTTTTTGTATATAAAAATGTATTTATTTTTTGTCGTATCTCGCTGTACTCGTATCTTATTTTTTTGAAATTTTTCGTATCGTAATATTCGTATCGTATCTGCACCTCGTATTCGCATATGTGCTTCCTAGATTACAACTTTTACTTAACACATATAGTAAATTGTAAAAATTTATGACGAATAATTATACTTATCTCTTTTATAGATTATCTAAAGAATATAGATCTCTCCTATGATTTCAAATATAACGCTAACCACCCCTGTTAGTATTGGTTTTGACTTGAAATTATTAAATAATTATTCTACTCATTGCACTCTTATTAATTTTAATGTAAAATATTTGTTTCTTTATACGCAAAATAATCTTTTCAAGTTAATGGTATTTTCGGGTTTTACATAAATATTAAGCATAACCTCATTGGACAAAGAGTCAAGAGTATCATATTTTAGAATAGGAGAGGCGAGTATTTCAATGTTATATTTAAAATTAAAGGGAAGGTCACTAAATAAGGGTAATTATCCCAATTTACAATTAAAATAGAATGTAAAGAGTGGTATCTCCATTTGCTTTAGATTACAAATTTAATTTTCCACCCAAAAAGCAAAGATAAGAAATCGCTTTTGTCTAATGTTATACAAAAAGACAATTATATCCCTAACTAAAAAAAATTATATTGACAAAAATAGTGCGAGTTAAAATTGATTTAAATTAAGTAAGGAGATTCGTTTTCTCTTATCAAATTTAATTCGATTCTTTTAATTGGTTCAGCCCATTTGAATTATACCCATTTAAGTCATATATACACCTAATTTTTATAAGATGAATTAATTTTGGTGTGCATCGAATCATTAATAACGAGTACCAATTAATAAAAAAAAATCTTTAATAATAATATGGTAAGGATCTGAGTATTTATTACACCTTCTATGGTACAAGATACAGATGTAACTTAAAATAGATAGTTCTAATTTCTCATCCTTCTTGTGTGGTAAAAAAAAAATAATAATAAATAAATAAATAAAAGGGGTAAGAGAGGCCATACACGTACATGTATTATGTATATCAACCAACTTTAAAAGCTCGTTTATTGAATCTGTTCCTTTTGTCTGTAAGGAATTCAAACACTTGTTCAATCAAACTTACCCTTCTGTCTATTTCATAGCCATTGTGTAATTAATAATAAGGTAATGATGATGGAATCATTCAAGCAACCACCAAACCCTTCTCACTCACATCCACTGACTACTAATGAGATGAGAGGGACCCCCCTTTCTCTCTCTCTAAAAACACACACATATACACACACATATACACACATATCTATATATGCATGGACTGAAACCTTCAGTGAATGCCTCTCTGAAGGAAAACATCAGCATGACAAAATACAGTACTAATACCACCATTTTTCTCTTTTTAACTTCTTCTTCTTCTCTCTCTCTCTCACACACACGCACAGTCACACACACTGTAACTTTCTCCCTGTCCATCTATTTATACACACCCTTTGAAGGCAGTCCTCACCATCTCAAATCCATATATTATACAAAAGAGATATAGAGAAGAATGTCTCCAGCAGCTTCATCAAGGTGGTGTCCAACACCAGAACAATTGATGATCTTAGAAGAGATGTATAGAAGTGGGATAAGAACTCCAAATGCTTCTCAGATACAGCGTATCACAACCCACCTCTCTTTTTATGGCAAGATTGAGGGCAAGAATGTATTTTACTGGTTTCAGAACCACAAGGCCAGAGACAGACAGAAGCTCAGGAAGAGACTCTCCAAGCAATTGCACCAAGAGCACCAACATCAACTTTACCATCATCAATATCATCAACAACAACACAAGCAAGTACTAAACTACCATAACCATCTTATTCAATACCTTGAGAAGCCTCCTGCTTATTCCTCTCCTCTCCATCAACTTTCTCACTATAACTCAAATGAGCTTCTTCCTCAGGTAATCTTAACCACACACACACACACACACACACACACACACACACATATATATATATATAATATAGGTTATTAATAAAAAAAAAATAGTTTTTGCAAGTTACCCCGTGCATTGCAGGTACTCCCTCTGGAGGGGGTAAGCCCCAATACATTCAAGGGATATAATCCTTCTCGATTAGATTATCAGGTCTAAGAATCATTATTCTTTTGCTTTTCTCCTGTGTCACTCATCAAGTATGGCATATATTATTATTTTTACATTCATAATGTGAAATTTTACATAAAATTGGTTTTGCGAGCCAATATGATGTTGCCCTACTAGAAATATAAAGATGGAGAGAATTTCTGGGTGGAGCAAAATATTATAATTCTTTTATAAATTTTTACAAATTTTAGTTACATAGTACCAATTCGGCCCCAAAATTAAAATTTCAAATTCCGCCCTTGCTCATAGTACTTTACTTTCAATAAGAACAAAGTAAATATGACTAAAATTATAAGCAAAGTATGTCCATTATTTGTTTTTAATCATCCCAAAGTGCTCTTAATCTTGCAAGGAAATTTGATCTATGGAAAGTATGGTAAAATTAAAGATTCTATAACTTGCAAAACCTAAGATTTCATAGCTATGAGTAGTAGTATATAAGAATTTGGAAGGAGATAGTATTAATTAATTTTGTTCTTGCAGTGCTAATATTCATGTTAATTACGTATGTATTAGGATGGAGTTGAGGAGGCATCAACACAGACGATGAATCAGAAATGGAAGGTAGATCATAGGGAAAGGATGGAGACGGAAAAATCAACGGCTCTTGATTGGATGATGATGATGAATGTGGGTCCAAGCAGTACCCCTTGTTGCAATAGACCCCTCAAAACCCTAGAACTCTTCCCCATCACAGCCACCAGTCTCAAAGATGAATGCACATCTAAGCACAATATTTCCTATTCCAACCAACTCTAACAGCATGAATCTAGATCTCTCTCTAGGTAGATGGGTCAGCTAGGTTTCAATCTACCTATAAGTTGTTTAATGTCTTTGGTTTCTGTTATGCATTTGTCTCTAGACTTGGGACTCTAGCTCCAGTGAGAAATATCTGTATCTTCTAATGGGTAATTACTATAGTACTACTATTACTCTTTAAGTTGGTACTGTTTGTTTCCAAATCAGAATCTGCTTTGGGCTTCACAAGGTTCTTTTTTTGTATTGTTATTAAGCTTGTCTCTACATGTTGTAAATTAAAGCTGTCAAGTGCAACATCAGTACTACTTCATAGACATGTCCAAATCAGCCTTTTCTTTGGTCTTACATTGTCAGACAAGTCAATAGGGAATCAGTGGGTGGACACTAATAGAGCATGAACAGGAAGCCAAGGACATCCAAACTCCAAGTGAAATTTGGAAATTCTTGATAGAAACAATATACAGTGTACCCCAACCATTCATTGATAACTAAATTGATGCTCGGTGGTGTTTGGTGATGGCTATGAAAAGGCAAGACCTCCCATTAGGTTTGTCAAATGTCACTTACCTTTCCTGATTATCTGGTTTATGTAATAAATTCCCCCCTCTTGACCATTTTGCCTTTTTTAATGCTTGAAATGATAGCAAATATTTCATAGGTAAAACAGTAAAAAAATCACTGATAAAAAGGTTAGTGGGATTATAAAACGTAGAGGGATTTATGTAAGATATTGACAAACCTTAAGAGAGTTAAGTGATATTACCCATTAATGAATGGTTAAAGTCCTATTATGCTGTGTTTTTGTTTCATATATGGTCATTGGATTGGATAATTTCTTAAGATTAATTTGCATGATAAGTATTTGTTTATTAAAGATGTAAATAAATTCAAATCTTCAAGGAATATTCCAATCCAAGGCCCAAATGAAGTAGTCATGCCTAGCTATACATGAGCATGAGACCAACCTAGAGTCATGGCTCTTTGAATTGAACTCATTCATTTAATGAGATGGATCACATGCAAGGCACGTAAAACTCTAGCTCACCTCATTCAAAAATGAAGATAGACGGGGGTTAAACAATTATCAAATCATGATTCTTAAAAGCATTCCTCTATCATGAGTCATGTAACATTTATTTGTGTCACACAATAAATAAAAATAAAAATAAAGTTGACTTATATCCATGGTTTGTTGATGCAGAATTGCAATGTTATTTGAAGTTAAAGCCGTACACATAACTTCATATAACACAAGATCCTTCCACACAAATTAGGTTGGTAAGCGATTTAGATGCCTCCGAAATTAGATAGTTAAGTTTAGTTTAAATGAGGCTTAATTAATTCCTAAATGAATATAGCTGAAATTCTGCAGATCAGGAAGCTTGCCAGAAACTGTAGTTGGATAGATCATTCCAACTATGAACCAGATTGCTCTGTCTAACATTTATCCTGATCAATCCAAACCGGTGTTTGTCTCATGCATGGTATCCATGTTCATCCAACGAGCATATATAATCTAGATCAATGATGTTTTTGTTATATCTCCGAGCTTCCTGATCAGTTTTAATTTTTCTTATTAAATATTTTTCTGATAACATGACCATTATTTCTGATAATTATTAGTAATTAAGAGTCTTGCAGTTTTAATTTTTCTTATTAAATATTTTTCTGATAACATGACCATTATTTCTGATTATTATTAGTAATTAAGAGTCTCATTCAAGATCCTGAACTGATTACTATCTCTTCCAGTACCATGTAAAAGTCATTGATGCCATTCAAATGTCAAGAAAGTTGAAACATGCTCTTACACAATGTCACTATTGAGATAACATAACATTACCAATATGCCAGTGGCCTAGCGGTACCAGACTCCAACTTATAAAGGGAGGTCAAGGTTCGAGCCTCGGTGGAAGTATATTTGTGTGAGTACCAATTAAGGAAAAAAAAATGACATTTACAATATAAGCCACTCTCTCATATTCTGTGATTTGTATGCATGCCTTACATTGTTGTATATTGACCAGAGTCACTCTGTCACTGTCACATTAATGTGATTCACATGAAGTGATTGTATAGATTTACTTTGTACTACATGAAATCAAACATTCATGTAGTCCAAAATGAGTTGAGATCTAAATTCAAGAGGTTCTCATAAGATTTAAGCGTACATGTAGTCCAAAATAAAGAGAAGATCATAATTATGTGAGCTTTAAAAGATGACACCTTAATCCACAAAATTAACATAATCAGCAGAAGTAATGCCGGATGGAACCTCAAAAACCAATAAGTGCAGTTGTAAAATTTTAATCTAACTAAAAATTTACAACCATAAAGAAATTCTAATATTCCAAATTTAAACCTGTTTGTGTACAATTTTCTTTTTCTTTTTTTCATGGAATAATTATACAATGTATATCATACTAGCTATTCTCTAACACAAAGGCAATGGATGGTTTGTGTGTTGATTTGTGACCAAAAAAGAATTTTTATTTTTTGTTGATGCGAGGGATTGCTCTAAAAGTTTTCTTTGTGAAAATGGAAGCGCGTTGATGTATTTAAGCTAAATTCTTGACACAGTCTCTTAAGTGGTTTGGTGAGTGTAGGGCTTCCACAGTAGAAGACACCTGCAATGCACCATACGATCAATCATCATAGAGCAGAATTAAGGGACTAAACTAAGTTAGAAGAACATTTTAATATTGATAGTGTCATAGTTAGGTCTAGGATTACCTATACGCGCAGCTGGATGGTCAGTTGACAGTTGATTGAATACCTTTTTCCAGTTTGGTCTCGCGAAATGTGTTCTGATCTGTTGTTGTGATTGCATGTTAGAAAAGCAGCTAAGAAAATAGGGGGACAAAAATGATTCATTGGATTTTTTGTTGTTAGTCAATACCCTGCTTTCTGAGACAATGTCAAGTCCATTCTTAGCATGTTGCAGAGATTGAACCATGGCAATGAGCGCGGAACGTGCATCTCCTTCTTCATACACACTAGTCAAATAGTTGTGCATTTCTATTATGTGCTGCAAAATTGAGAAAACGTGAATCAGTTTGAATTTTGTAACAATGGAGGAAAGAACAAGTGTAGTTAAGTTGATTTTCTACGACTTACATTCTGGTCATACTCTGCTATGTCATCCATGACACCTTTGAACCATTCAAAGGAGCCTTGTTCCCTCGTCACCCAATAGAAATATGCTCTTTCTGGATATTTTTTGGCTCCCTCAAAGCCGCTTTCTAACAGGTCCTGCATTAGTTAAATCCCTTTTGTATGGTTAATCGATTTTATTTTTTTATTTTTTATTTTATTTTTGGGGGTAAATGTTATATGGTTATTTGATATTGCTTGTTTGCTCTTAATTAATAAAGCCAAGGCTGGCTTGCTTTGAACTCACCGGATCTTTTTCACCCGGCTTGATGTTGTTTAGGAGATCTTTTATGATGCTGATGAATGGAGTTGCTCCAATTCCCAAGCCAATGAGAAAAAGGATGTCATACTTATTGTAGCTCTGAGCTGGTGCCCCATAAGGTCCTCTAATGAGAATCCTTGGAAATCTGAATTAATTGATTGAGAATAGCTATTAGTCAATGGTGTCAAGTGAAAAGCTATATAGATGCTGCAACCAAATCCTGCTCACCCTTCTTGTGAGTGTTCAAAGTCTGTGTCGGGGTTTGGGTTCGTGTTCACTTTCGTTTGCATTCTAACAAGATTTCCACTTCTTGGTTGTGCAGGTGGAGGTTCACATGCCTGCATTTTTTGTTCTTTAGATTGCAGAGAAGAAAAAAACGGAAAAACAAAAAAACAAAAGATTTGGCATGTGGTTTAGAAATTAAAAATGGACTGTAAATCATTCAGTATATGCTCAGGTCAAATTGTTTAGAGTGTCTTAATTTGTTCCTTCAGCTAGTACTTGTCACCTTTGCAAATCTTTCTCTAAGCTCTGTAGTCCAGTCTCCCAAAGCACGTATGTGGACGCTTAAGTAGTCGTCTCCTGGTGCAGAAGTGATGGAAAAGGGATGCCTGCAACAGTTGATTAATCAAAATTTGAGCATATAGATATTTCCATAGGGGCAGTCACCATCACAGAGTACTTTTTAAATTACCATTCATAATTTGATAAGTCTGGACACTTGACAAAGAGATACATTCCACTCTTGTACTTAAAACCTGGTGGTTTGCTCATATATAATGCCAGAACATTTCCTGTGTATATTATAGCCTGCAACAACCAAAGCATACACCAGGTTAATTGGAGTCATTTTCATGGATCTGAAATCAAATACGTTCGCGTTTGCTGATGGGAACCTTAATGATGCTGACTCGATGATGGTGATCCCGCATAGATATATGAAGCCTCTCGATGACATAGAAGACTAATGGGAAACTGAGATACATCCAAGTCTGCAGGGCCAAAAGTATATATCCTTTCAGCATTGCTTTTTAGTTGATATATAAACCAGTAAGAACTTCAGAATTAAGGAACTAACTAGTCTGTGTCATGACTGCATTGACATGGTGAATCAGACATGGAGTTAATTAATTGACATCTCAGTGGAAATCGAGAATGAATACCGTTGAGGGAACAAGTAATGAATGATGCACAACCAGCCGCGTATGCACAATAGTCCTTTTGTTTCACTATGTAAATGTGAAATTTATGGTTGGGAAAAGTTTCAATTATAGAGAAATATAAGCATTTGGAAATTCATGGATAAATTTTTTTAAAAAAAGTTCAGCAAGGTCAATTGCAATGAACATTATTTGAAACTTCAAGAATGAATTAGTTGAGGTTATCATGTTTATCCTTGCATGAGAGATAATGAAAGCATACGATTTTTCCTACACTAATCAGTGTTAGTCAGAAAAGATGCATTTGCTGTTGATCTTGATTAAATATTTGAATACATCAAAACATTTATAGTGATTCATGCATAATTTGTAAGTAAGTATTAGGATTTATAATGTCAACAATATAGAAATCCATAACCAGACTTACCGTCTGCTTGTACCAAGTATGGCTGAACAGCAACCAGGAACCATGGATACACAAGAGGATATAGACAAAGACCAGCAGATGATGTGCATACCAGAAGGAGTTGAACCCCGCCAAATAGTGAAATGGCCAGCGCAATTTGACCACATTCCTCCTGAAGGAATGTGTCGCCAGTGTGAAAGAGAAAGCCATCAGAAATACCATTATAAGGCCAGTTGAACCGGGAACACTCGCTAGCAGGCCTGCGTAGCTTGGCCTCTTGTCGTGGAAGAGAGGTCCAAGAATTGCCTTAAATTTCATTAGGGGGGCTGATGATATTCTTGGAAAATTACAAGCTAGATGCATTACTGTGTGGACAGCGCTCGCAATTGCTATAGCAACTGCAATGAACTTGTGGAAATTTATATTGTCATCGAAAGGGAATAAAGCACCAAGAAAAGTCTCTCTTAGCTTAGTAAGAGTTCTTCTGCATACAGGGACTAGAATGAGTGCCATATTTAACTTGAGAGTCTCAGCTGAACCCTTTGCAATGCAGAGACAATTACCCATAATTTTGTATCCTTTTTGTGTTTTGTACATTTTATACTTATAAATGAAGAGGATCACGTTAAAGATTAACCACAATGCAATTACCCATATTCTCTTCCAGTTCTCAAAAATTTTCTCTTTGGTTTTAGACACAAATTTGTTAACAGGGGTTCTGTATTGTTTCGGGATCATGGTTCTCGCGAGTGTGTGTGTTCTCTTCGCCATCCTGGAGTCAGACTTGCTGCCTCCTTCAGAGCTCACCATCCCTCTAAGTAGAGTTTCAAGTTGCCACATCTGTTTAGAATACAAAATAAGAATAAAAATACGAACGATTACTAATAATAATAAGAAGAAGAAGAAGAAGAAGACATATCTTTAGTTACCTCTATATATCCTAAATGGTCAGGATCAAGCTCTTCCATGATCAAAGATGCATAAGTCGCGGCGTGTTTCTTAAGATTTGATAGCTTATTTGCGCAGGCGCTCAAAATTATAACCTTCATCATAAAATTTGTTAAAGTTCTTTAAAAAAGTGAAAAAAAGAGAAGCAAAAAAAGCTTCGAAAAGGTCCCTTTTCTTACCTCCTTAACCTCATCCTCTGATAGCTTCCCATCTCCATTCTTGTCACACCTGAAGATCATATTTGCTCATTTGCACTAGCATTTGTTTGCTGGTTTGATAGAGAGAAAATATAGAGACAAAGGGGGAGAGAGAGAGAGAGAGAGAGTGAGAATTCCTTACATGTCAAAGAAAATCTGAAGCCTTGCATCAAGGTCTTTACTGGACATGTCTTCCCAAAAGTCTTTACATTCGCTCTTTGTTATCCCATTTTCCGTGTTGATCCTCCTACGCCTCGCCAAGGCATCAAATAACTCCCCTGCAAATTCTTTGCTGTCTCCCATACCTTCAACACAAGTACAACAATGCATCAAGGCCTAACTTGCTCTATATATATGAATCACATTAGGAGATATTTTAATTAGAATTAATATCACCCACCAATGCAGATTCCAAATTTCTCTTTAGAGAGCCTCCCATCAACTGCCATTTGATCGAAACGTTTCTCAATAGGCTTCCACGCATCCCCTTCCTTCCCGGTCATCGCCCTGTCAAGAAACCGGATGCTGACAAACCCCTTTTCGGTGCCTGATTTTGTGATTCTCCTCACACCCTGCATTCCTTTCTTTCCCGCGGTGCTTATAGTCCTCTTGATGGCCTTGTTAATTGAGCATTGTGATGATACAGAGCTTGGCTTTGGCTTTTCATTATGAATAGGCACATCCACCATACGATCGACCTGGACCCCCTCCAGCATCCATTTCGATGATTCCTTATCTTTCCCCATCCCTCCCATGTCTCAATTCTTTTCCTTCTAGTTTTCTTCTCTTTTTTTTTTCTTTTTTTTTTCTTTTTTTTTTTTTTCTTTTCCTTAATGGCGACGAGAGAGAAAGAGAAAGGAGTTCAGGGGGGAAATTGCAGCATGGGGAGCAAGAAAGAAAGAATGAGAGGGAAAGTTGAAATGGTCAAGGTGTTGGGAAGGAGGGAGAGAGGTTATTGAAGGGTAGTAATTGGTTTTATTTAGTTGTCCTAAAATAGAAAACTAACATATACTTTATATAAAATCTTATAATTCAAAGAAAAATGGCATAGAACAACTATACATCTATGCCATTCTATCATTAGGCCATCAGCCATTCATTTATATGACAATTACCAAGGGCCGGAGACTATTGTACAACAACATTGTCTATTTTCATCTTCCATTTCCATGAATTGCTCAGCTCTAGAAAAAGAAAGGAATAGAGAAGGGGGCCGGAATACAGTTTCTTGGCCCCCAAACAGAAAGACAAAAGCATTCCAGCCACCTTCAGAGCATTAACTGATTACTACAACTAGAAAAGAAAAGGAACAAAAAATAATAATAATAATAATAATTAGATTTCAGTTTCTTGGCAACCAAACAGAAAAATAAAGTGTGTTAGCCACCTTTAGAGCATTAACTGATTACTAGAACTAGAAAAGAAAAAGGAAAGAAATGGAAAAAAAAAAAAAAAAAAATTGAAATCTAGTTCCTTGGCAACCAAACAGAAAAATAAGGTGCGGCAGCCATCTTCAGGACATTAACTGATTACTACAGCTAGAAGAGAAAAGGAAAGGAACAGAAAACAAAAATGAAATACAGTTTCTTGGCAGCCAAACAGAAAAATAAGGTATGCCAGCCACCTTCGTAGCCATTATCTGATTACTAGAATACTGGTAAGTGGTTGCTCCTTGTTCCATGTAGCAGGGCTCTTTGCAAGTAGGGATGGCGACTTTAGCAGTGTATGCGGTAAGGCGGGCAGGGTCAGGTTAGGCAAGTATTTTTGTAATAATATTACAAATCTAACTAATGTAAATAATGAAACAATATGAATTGTTGTTTTCTTGATTCTTCCAATTCACCCAAGTCTTCGTGGGTTTGGAAGAGTATGCAGGCTGCTAAAGGTGTAATTCGGAGGGGCCGAAAGTGGCGAATTGGGGATGGTTCAGGTGTAGACTGTTGGAAGGATAATTGGCTTCCGGATAGGTCCAACTTTGCTGTAACTTCAAAACAGACTTGTGCTTCAATCAACTCAGTAGCTGATTTGATCAATGAGTCTACTCACTCTTGGAAGGCTGCTTTGATCTCTCGCTCGTTCAATCATAGAGATACTGATTTGATCCTTCACATTCCTCTACGTCAGTTGGGTGGGACGGATAAAAAAAATATGGGGGCTCACCTCGGATGGTCGATTTTCAGTCAAAAGTGCATACTATGTTGCTCTTTCTTTACTTACACCCCAGAAGCCTAATCTGAACTCTTCTTCTGAAATGGCTAGCTGAAGTTTTGACTCCGAAAAGAAGAGTATGTGGCGAGAAGTTTGGAAGATTAAAGCTCACCGGAAGATCCAACTTTTTCTGTGCCAAAGTTTACATGATAGATTGCCGGTGCTCCAACAATTTTCTTTTAGAGGCGGGGCGGGTCAGAGGAGGCTGTTTGCAAATGTTGTGGGGCCAATGAGACTATTGATCACATTTTGTGTACCTGCCCTTATGCATGCAAGGTTTGGAAACTTAGTCCTTTTCATTTGGATTTTAGTTGTATATCCCCTTCTAGTTGGCAAAAAAGATGGGTCTGCCTTATCGCTCAGTGGAACACATGTGATGGCTCGTCAGAATGTATTAGTCTCGCTGCTTTTATTTGTTGGTCTTTATGGAAGTGCCGCAATGATCTCATGTTTAGCAACAAGTTATGGGATCCGTTTGATGCCGTTCATCGGGCTCTCACGGAATTTACTGATTTTCAGGATATATGCTCTAAACATGCTCTTCTCTCATTGCCTTTGCCCTCATCCCTTCTCCGTCCTCCCTTTTGGAATGCCCCGCCGCTTGGCAGTTTTAAGTTTAACTTTAATGCCTTTTTCAATCCGATCTTTAAGTTTTGTGGGGGAGGTTTACTTCTTCGGAATCATCTGGGCCTCCTATCCGGATAGCTACAGTTTTTTTCCGCAATGTATACAGCTCTTCTGTGGTGGAAGGTCTGTTGCTCCGAGAGTCCTTTCAGCTTATTAAGAGTTGGGGTTACAGTAAAGTAGTGTTTGAAGGTGATTGTAAACCTGTCATGTCTCTTATTCCCACGGAAGAGACTCTTGTGGTTATTTTTGAAGATGTTTCTATTCTTCTAGCGTCTTGCTCGGGGGCTTCCCTTGTGTGGACTCCTGTTTATGTAATGTGGTTGCTCATTTGTTGAGTAGAAAGGCTTTGGAAGCCAATTGTGATAACTTGGAATGGAGCATATAACCCAAGTGCTTGTTAAATGCTCTCACTCCGAATGTTCTCCTTTGGATGTTTAATATATTTGTTGTTCGTTTGAAAAAAAAAAAAAAACAATGACTCAAATTTTTGAAACAGATAACATATATTATAAGGTTAAAATTGACCTATCCTTATATGTCATCTTTTACTTTCATCTTATAATATAATTAAATTTATTAAGGCTACAAATTTAACGAATTATTCACCAACAATTTTGCTTTAACTATACTTCGTCCGGAAGTTGTTTGTGAAGTAAATGAGTCAAATTTCAAATAATATAATTTGTTAATTCGTCTGATAAATAAAACATGCCTGAACAATTTATCAGTGGGCTCATTGATTTTAGTAATATGTTAAAAAAAAACAAATATGTGAACAAATTCATTAAGACTTGTAAATGTGACTTATTTATTGGGATTTGTTTGAATTTAGCATCTTAAATGGTCGAACTTAGTCAAACTTGATAATAAGCTGCAACTTAAATTGACACTAAACTAGCCAAATAACAAGCCACGTACTTGTACCCATTAAGTTTAAGTTTTGGTCGGACTGAATGCTTGACATGACCCAGATTAAGGAACTAATGGTAACGGGTGAGCATTTATTCATTTACTCAAAAGTTTAAACTGTTATGTAATATTACATACTTACCCATTTATATTCAATTCCTCTTCCATTTAAATCCGATGTGAGACAAATCTCCCCTAATAACACAAGATTTGTTTACCAAATAAATTTCTTTGTAGGCACTTGATCGTGCTCTAGATGCTTAATAGAGGTATGGCTTTTATTTCTTCCATCTCTAATTTTGTAATTTTACTTAAATTAAAAAGATAAATATATTTAGGTTGAGTGCAATTAGGACTTAGTGATTGAGAGGTTAGTTCCACCTCAATTCACTATGCAATTTAAGACTTTCAACACGGGCCTAACAGCCTAAGTATACTCACTTTGTATTCATTATTATTATTATTTTTATTTTTATTGGCAAAAATCTCACATACTATTTTCACACGTACATTTTATTTCTTTGAATATTTAAACTCTCACCATTTACCTGTACCACTGCGTCACCGCACCTTTTATAAATTTGAAGTTGTCATATGAGAATTATGTGAGTGAATTGACTGGTTTGAAATGTAATTTTACTATTTCAATTATTAAAAAAATTAAAATTGAAGTAACCAAAAGTGAAATGTGTAATCACCTTTCATTCTCAAAGCACGAAAACATATTTCCAAAAGAAATCGACGATTCTTGCTCCTTACTCACTTTACAGGGGTAGTTTCGTCAAAGCACTATAAATTAGTAGGAGGGACGTCTCTAATAGCAAAAGTTTAGAGGACGATGTCAAGTGTATACGGGAAGATGCTATGGTGGGTCAGATCAAACGGCCGGAAAATTCTAAAATCACGGTGCCGATATATGACCCACAATTTGTTTATCCCTGTGACGGTCTGGACTCAGTTACTGAGTCGCCGACTCGACGACAACATCAACCCCAGCGGCAAATTCCTTCCTATCTCTCTACACCCCCTCTCTCTCTCTCTAGCATACTCAAATCAGACGGCCTCTCTCGTCTTTTTTCCAACATACCCAAATCAGACCGTCCATATGTCTCCACTTCCCGGTCGTCTTCTTCGTTAGTTTGCAATCTCCCGTATATATATATATATATATAACTGTTTCATGCTCTTTCTCTTTCTAGGGTTTCCAGAGACGCAAAACAGAAACCAAACAACACTAGTGTTCTCTCTCTGTACATGCACAACGCCAATGATTTCTCCATCTTCTGTAATATGTATACATTCAGGTATTCTTTGAATTAATCTCAGTCTTTATGTATGTACCTAAGTAAATATATAGATATCTGTATGTATATATTTAATACACACATACACATATTGCATTGGCAGATACATAATTGAGTTTGTATTTTGTTGTTGCTGCTCCTTTCTAGGGTTTTGATTGGGGTTTGTATTATACGGGTTGAGAATTAAATTCCGTAGAGTAAGGTCTGTTTGTTATCATTATAGCTCTAAGGATCCCATATTCAATTCGGATTTTTTCCCGCGTAGTAAGAAAATGTGGAATGATGAGAATGAGCTGCAGAGGGGAAACTCAGCTGCTGATGATGATGAATTCGATGATTGTAGTTATGGGGCAGGATCAGATGGATATTACTTGTTGGAATTGGGAGAAACTGGGGAAGAGTTTTGTCAAGTCGGGGATCATACTTGTAGCATTCCTTTCGAGTTGTATGATCTTTCAGGTTTGAGCAATGTGTTGTCTGTGGATGTGTGGAATGATTGTTTGACTGAGGAAGAGCAATTTCAGCTCACAGAGTACCTTCCAGATATGGACCAAGAGATGTTTATGATGACATTAAAAGAACTTTTTGAAGGTTATAATTTTCATTTTGGGAGTCCCATTAATAAGCTATTTGAAATGTTGAAGGGAGGGCTGTGCGAACCAAGAGTTGCTCTATATCGGCAGGGTTTGAATGTCTTTCAAAATCGCCAACACTATCACCTTCTGCGTAAGCATCAGGACAGTATGGTCACTAACTTTTATGAGATGAGGGATGCTTGGATTAATTGCAGAGGATACAGTATTGATGAGAAGCTTCGTGTACTCAATATATTGAAGAGTCAAAAGAATTTAATGAATGAAAATATGGAGGAGTTGGAGACTCAAGTCTATGAAAGAGAGGAATCAGGGGAAGGCGTGTGGAGTGAAAAGCTGAAGGATTGGCAATTTAAGCAGAAAATGGGTCATCGTTCTGCATATGGGGCGAGTCCATCTCTAGAGTTTCCTTCCCAGGGGAGGGTCACGGCCTTGGAACAGGCAAAATTTGGAATGCAGAATCCAAAAGGAACACTAAAGTTGACCAGATCAAAGACATCTTCAAAGAAAGAATTAGTAGGTCGCTTGCCTTCTGTTCATCATAATTTGGAAATGAAGTCAGGGCGCTATAGTTCAGCTTTGGCTCATCCTCAAAAGAATAAGGTAGGATGGTATGATTCAGGGTCAGCAGTCCGTGTGATGGATCAGATGAGAGATGATGCTGAAGAAGCAATGTACGAAGTAGCTAAGCAGAATTATCAGAATTTTTCACGAATTAGTGCAGTGGATAAAACTGGTGTTTCTAAATTGGGAAAAAAGTATGAAACTTTGAAAGGTGATGAATGCAGTGACAGTTTCATGGGTTTGCCTATGTATTTGACGAATGATTTAAATGCCTACGGTAGGAACAAGGCTGTGAATCAATTGTCAGATATTGAGGTCTCAACTGCGAAGCCTACAAGAATTTCCCATGGCTGTGGCAAAAAGGTAAAGTATCCTGAGAATGCTCAGCAATTTGCAGTCGAAGAGCAGATGAAGTATGTGAAAGGCTGGGCTCCTGATATGTCACTGAAAAGAAATCAAATTGAGATGTCAGATGGAGCAGAACGTTTTTGGCATGACAAAGCACAAGGAGAAGCTTTCCCCGTTTATCCATCATTTCAGTGTAGTGATTGGAATAATAGAAGTAAGAAGTGGAAGAGAGAGAAAGAGTCTCCTGGTATCAAAGTTAATAGTAGGTTGTTCTCTTCTGACTATAGAGCAAGGCCATCACATGAGAATGTCAAAACCATGTCTGGGCAGAATGGAGGGCAAAACATGGCAGCCCTGAAAGGTGTCAGAACATTTTCCAAAAGTGAGGAAACAGAGTCAGACTCATCCGAACAACTTGATGAAGATGAGGATGTCAATCCTTCAATGAGGAGCAAGTTGGCGTACCCCAACAGTGTCTTGGAAAGTCATCAATCCACAGATCCTAGAAAGGCTAAATTTTTTAAGAAAGATAAGAAGGATAGAGCTCAGTCTAAAGATAAGAAGGATAGAGCTCAGGCTCTTGATGGATTATTTCACTCCTCCAGAAAGATAGCTGATCTTGATGAACATTTACAATTACCCAAAGTAGAAAACTATTCTTCAAAGGCAAAGCAGAAGCATAAGATGCATTATAGTGGTCACTTGCATAATTCTGCCGCTAAGTTGTGTGAAGACAGCTATTTCAATGATTCAGTTAGGTTGAGTGGTGATGATGATGGGAGACAACTTTACAAGTTGGGAAAGAATGGCCAGTGGCAAGGGCAACACCGTGAAAAGTTCCACATACCCTCACTAAAGGCATACACTACAAAGAGAAGGCAGAGAGGGGAAGTTGAGCGTGGCGATTTTGTCTCTCAATCAAATTGCTCGCGTGATCACATTGTTGATGAGGATGATTCACTTGAAATAGATCAGTTGGCGGAGGAAGGTGGAGTTACTAGCAGACTGGGGAAGAAAGGACAAGTTACTGAAGCGTTTATGAATGATCATCGTGAAAGATTTGATGTCCCAATATTAGGATGCAATTCAGTGGCAAAGAAGCGGAAAGTGAAGGAGGAGGATGTGACATACATGAGTGAAGGAGACGATAGTGATTACCAACAACTTGATGAAACCACTTCCATAAAGAAATGGGAGAAAAGGAAATTGGAGGATGATACTGTTTCCTTTGAAATGGGAACTTCTGTGTTGCCTGTTACTGAAACAGGAGTGTCAGATGTGGAATTAGAATTCAAACCACGGAAAAGGCCTTTTACTTTGATTACACCTACAGTTCATAATGGCTTCTCATTCTCCATTATACATCTTCTTTCAGCAGTTCGCATGGCAATGATTTCTTTGCTTCCAGAAGATTCTTCAGAGGTTGGCAAGCATCTTGATAAGAATGATGGAAGAGTGAGACTCAAGGAGGAGCAAGATAGAAAGCTGGAAAGCAACAATGGGGTCCATTTGCATGAGAACTTAGATATAAATAACTCGGACCATTCTGGGCAACGGGATGTTCCTTTTCTTACTGTTCTGGAAATTGTCAATCGTGTGAGATCAAACCCTGGGGATCCTTGTATCCTTGAAACTCAAGAACCACTTCAGGATTTGGTCAGAGGAGTTCTGAAAATATTTTCATCCAAATTGGCACCATTAGGAGCAAAATCGTGGAAGGCACTTGTATTCTATGAAAAATCCACAAAGAGTTGGTCTTGGATTGGTCCAGTTTCTAACAGTTTATCAGATCATGAGGCCTTTGAGGAGGTGACATCTCCTGAAGCATGGGGTCTTCCTCACAAGATGCTTGTGAAGTTAGTCGACTCATTTGCTAATTGGCTGAAAAGTGATCAAAAGACGCTTCAACAAATAGGAAGTCTTCCTTCCCCGCCTTTGACACTGATGCAATTTAATTTGGATGAGAAAGAGAGGTTCAGGGACCTAAGAGCTCAGAGGAGTCTCACAACCATCAACCGGAGCTCTGAAGAAGTAAGAGCTTATTTCCGTAAAGAGGAAGTTCTTAGGTATTCAATTCCTGACAGGGCCTTCTCCTACACAGCTGTTGATGGTAGGAAATCCATCGTTGCTCCCTTGAGAAGGTGTGGTGGTAAACTGACATCGAAAGCCAGAGACCATTTTATACTGAAACATGATCGGCCACCTCATGTTACAATTCTTGGTCTCGTGAGAGATGCAGCTGCAAGATTGCCTGGAAGCATCGGTACCAGAGCTGATGTTTGTACTTTGTTTAGAGACTCGCAATATATCGTGGAAGATGTATCCGACGCAAAACTTAATCAAGTCATTAGTGGAGCCTTGGACCGTTTGCATTATGAACGCGATCCTTGTGTACAATATGATGGGGAAAGAAAATTGTGGGTTTATCTACATAGAGAAAGAGAAGAAGAAGATTTCGAGGATGATGGGACTTCATCTACGAAGAAATCGAAGAAGAGGCAAACGAAAGGAGCTGCTGAGCCATTTGACCAGGGAGCACTGACTGTCGCTTATCATGGGGAAGAGTAATAAACTGGTTTTATTTGCACCAGCAATATCAGAACATCACTATATTTCTTCTCATCCCCGCACTCTTTTCTCCTCCTGTTAATATTTTTACATTCTGCAATATTAGAACATTACTGTGAGCTACTTGTGTGATATAATGATATATGTAGACTTTTTGAATGGTATTTTTTTTTTTTTTTTTTTTTGGCTTCCCTTTTCTTTTACATCATTTGCAACGAATGGTGGACCAGATTACTTGGATTAAGTCTTCAAATCTGATAGATGGGTGAATAAGTTCCGACAGGTTGTCCAGATTTAGACAGTACTTGAGATTCTTTGCCAACTATTAGTACCATTACAGATTTTATGTCAACATTGCTCGTGAGTAAATTAAAGTAGCGAGAACAATAATGGCCATAAGATTGATAATTACTTGTACGGATAATTTTGATTCATTTTTTATTATTAGATCTCAGAAGGATGGAATTTCAAATCCATGACCATATTTAAATGCTTAAGAATAGTATTTTCACATTGTTCCATCAACCTATAAATGAAACATCTATCCATCTAGGACAGAACTGATAATTTTGAATTTTCCAATCTAAAATACCAGTGGGGATAGCTATTAACGGTGATCTATGTTACATGGCTCTTAAATAGTAGGCAAAATACCCAAGCCCTACAAACATTTACTCGAACATGTATATATGTTATATATATCCAACACTTTTGATTAGATATACACTTATAAATCATGTCCAATAATTTAATATTATAATATTATTACTTCAAAATGAATGAAATGTCAATATTACACACTTGTTACCTATATAATAAATAACAAAATTTAGTAGCCTCCACCTGTCTTTTTATTTGAAAATTTGACATAGATGGTGATGTATCTATTACCAAAGCTAAGATTTGCAGAATAGTACTTGAAAATCCTAACAGTGAGCCTAGGATCTTCCTTGGCAGTTTTCGACAGTGGACCATAAAAGCAGCATAAGCATTTTATAATCTAAACAGGTCTAGTACTCAAAGTCTTCTTCAGCATACATCTTATATTACTAGTTCACAGAACTGTATAGAATTTTTTTTTTTTTTTTTTTTTTTTTTTTTTTTTTTTTATGGAAAGAATGTTAAGAGTTGGTGATTAGAGGGGAGGGGGAGGGGGAGAATGCAAGATTCGAACACGGGCTACCGGACATACGAAGCAACCCAATAAACAATAAAAGAATAGAAATGTATAATACTAGCACTCTCAGAAACCCCTGTTGGTAAAATCTCATTGCAGCTGTCATAAACCAGAGAATTTCAATGAACTGAAATCTCCCTCCTTCACCCCCAAAAAAAACCAAAGAAGAAAAAAATGATAGAAAAATCTATTATATTTCCCGCCTCCACGATGAAATTCTTCCAACAAACAATTAACAAATAAGATAGGTGGTACATACTTGAGCCATATATTCTGTACAAAATTCTACTTACTGCTGTAATCATCTATCAGGTCTGTTCCGCTCCCTTTAATTAATAGCAGTGAGAGGAACCCTGGAATCTCTCAAGGAGTGGCCATCCTCGTATGCCCCTAAAATATGTTTCACGTCTCCATTTGCTTGCTTTGAAGATTTTGCATCCCAGAATGACTTCAACAATTCTTCGAAATCAGGGGTCCTCAGTTCTTCAATTGATGCAATGCTTGGTAGATTGAATGACCTCTTTTTGGGTGTTGAGCATGACGGTTGATCCACCTGTTCACGACAAAAGGTTATGAACTTGATGAAGAATTTTCCCAGCCAAATATATAAGAGAAACTTGAAAAAGAACACGAGATCAATAGAGGTTATGTTTTTCCAAACAAATTGGACAATCCTAGAAATCCAGTGTGCACTTTGCAGCAAATGAGAACTAGAACACATGTTATCCTGTTATATATAAAACAAGAAATGAATATCTTCCGGATTAGGACTTGCGCTTTATAACTAGAATAGATGTTACATATCCTGTTATATTTAGCAATGGATTGCTTTGTGCCAATTACTACTGGATCCTATAACTTGAAATAAGCCAGTTTGTTTGTCACAAACTTACAAACATTACAACTTCTTTAAGCATGTGAAGGGGAGAAAAAGGAACTGACAAGTGACAACATTGATGGTGGATTTTACCACATCATAAAAGGACTGCTTTACCGTGTATTCATCTAGAAGACATTTTCCAGCATTTTCTGTAATCTCCACAATTTTGTGGTAGTGTCCGCTCTTCAATTCCCTCAATTCTCCGCAACAAGGATCAATCATGGAATCAAGATTCTCACATGCATCACGATCAAGTTGTAAAGAATCTGCAAGCGTCAGTTGAATGAGGTTTGCTTACGTGGAACAAAATTTCCCATCAATACTAGATAAATATGAATTAATGTGTGTGCAAAGACAGATGCTTTACGATCAATTGACGAGAGGAGATCTTTGTTTCCAACATCTGCATCTCCAAGTGCAGATGACACAGCAGAAGAAAACCGAGCACGCAGGTTTTGATTTGCTTCCATTCCTCCCCTATGAAAAAAAGAAATGCATAAGTAACAATGAGTAACCAAGTCTCTCAAACTGAAATTACATTAGTCTCTCAAACTGAAATTACATTAAACTTTTTCAGAATCACTAACCTCACTATTTCATCCACAGAAGCAACATTGCTCTTCTCCAGATTGAGCAATGATTCTTGAGCATCACTCCACTGCTGTGCGCCCACTTTTGCCTTTTGCTTACTGCATAATTTTATATGGAGCAAGTGGAGAAAATTGAGCACAAAAGAATTCAAACCACACGACTATATCAAGGTTCAATAAGAAGAAATAATAGGTATGGAAGGTGTGAAAAATGTAGATCACCACCCCAAGTGGCCCATACCAGTTCTGAAGAACATCCTCCAGGTCCTTCTTTCCACTTTCCACTGCAGCCGTATCCTCAAGATAGTGGGTTTCAGCTTTTTCCATGTATACCATCCATTCAGCTTTAACAGAAGAAGTGGAGTCGTGCATAATTGACATTTCTTGCTGTAATCTGCTGGTTCTACTGGCTGCACTTTCCCGGAGGCCATGAACTGCCGTTTGAACCTTAAGTATAGAAAGAAAAGTATAAAAAGTCAACATCCTTAAACGAATTTAGTATCCATGATGAATAATTAAATTTTCCACCACAAAGTATTGAATGAACATTGTTGAACGAGGAAAAGATCAAAGGAACTGAATACACAACTAAGAAGAATTTGACAAGAAACAACGCACAAGTGTAATTATTCTGTATTTGAAGGCCGTCTTTTATAAAATCAAAAGTTAATGACAAGTGATATAAAATTTTGTTAGTCTGCCAAAAAGAAAAGAGGAACATTTGAGAAAACTAAGACATATTAAAGTTGGCAAGTGGTAACTTATGTAATTGGCACAAACAAGTAGGTGTAACTGTTAAGTTCTATGGTAGCTAACCTCCTTGGAGTCAGATATAGTGATCCTTCTACTCTGAAAAAATATGCTAGACGTGCTCAGTTCTCTTTGAATATTAATTTTCAATTTAGTTTCTATTGTTTCCCCTTGTTTTCAATTCTTCCAATTGCTTCATGAAACAACATAAAGTTTCATAATAATATATTGTTCATTTCAACCATTAGGGCACCAACAAAATCCCTTTTCTGCCATACCATCTTGCTGATATGCTAGTGGAGCAGCAGATTGCTTTTCTTAAATAAATACCTTATTAGAAACCAGCAGTAGGCCTTATGCAACAAAAATTTTAAAGCAAGAAGAATATATCTCTAAGAGTATCAAGGCTCATCCTAAAAATAACGCAATAACAAAAGTTAATAGTAGTTAATTATACATGTAAATCTGCGGGTCACTATCAAGGCTCATACTAAAAATAACGCAATAACTAAATGTAACCTCTCTCACACACACACACACAGAAAAAGAGAGAGAGATCATTTCTTAAGTTAATTGCACGAGAAAAAGTATGGGCCAGTGTTGAGGCTCCTACTGTAACCCAATAATAGTGAAACATTTTGTTATGATGAGACAAAAACATGAAACTGACACTTAATGGTTTGTACCGCACTGGCAGTATCTTTTTTATGCATCACCAAGAACAACATAACAAAAACAGAAAAAAAAACATAGCAGACAATGTTACAAGAAATTTCATTTTTCTGCCCTAGAGACGCAACTAGAAATATCCCACTTGGGACGAGAATTCAGCATCTACAGTTCACTCAAATTTTTATACTGGATCTAACTAGATCTTGGTGCAAGTTACCAGAACTGACACAGAACTAAAAAGTAACAGGTGCAAGATCAACTAATATAATATACTGCATTATGTTTGAGAAAACACATCTCGGATTGATTTACAGGCCCATACCAGTTTTTTCTTCCTAGCATTTGAACTTGCAAGCAGCTCTGCTACTTTTTCTAAAAGTTGCCTTTCTTCATTGGCAGCACATTCCTACATGTGATAAATTACACATTGAAAGTAAGGAATTTATAGTGATTCAAGCAAAAGAAAAGTCAGAGACGGAGGAATTTAATCACCTCAAACTTCTTTTCAAGCTCAGATAATTTCTGATCATTGACTGTTTGCGCTTCTTCCACAATTTGGCCCAATTGTAATGCATGCATGTCCAGAGTTTTAAGGAAGTTCACAGTAATTTGAGAAATTGACCTTGAGGTAGCCACAGCTCTTGAATGTGCCTGCATATATTGTCAAAAAAAATTAAGAAGCATTTATTTAAAAGTGATAGTCACTGAAAACCTCAGAACAAACTGACCTCCCGCTGTTGTTGTGCATATGCAGTTAATCTGTCCTCTTGATTATAAAAACTATTTTGAAGATCATTAAGTAATGCATCAGCCTCCGAATGAACTCCTTTAAAGAACTGCATTACACAGATGAAGGTTAAAAGCGACCAAAAAAAAAAAGAAAAACATGTTCTCGTGGTAGTAGTATAAAATACATACATCCTCGAGAGCAGAGGAATGTTTAGAAACTTCAGTATTAAGATGTCCTAAAGTTGACTGAGAATTTCCATCAAGCTCCCCTGCTAAATTATCCAACGCTTTAATACCAGAACCATACATGGTTTTCAGCTTTTCCAGGCGGCCTCGAAGTTCTTCAGTGGCCTATAAGCGCACCAAAGGACATTACAGTATCAACATGCAGTTTAAGCAAAAACTAACTTTTCTTCTTCTTCTTGCTTTTATTTTTTATTTTTTACAACTAAACCATACCTCTGCTTTCGTGGATACAAAAGATTGCATATCTTCCTCCATGTCTTTCAGTTGCTGCTCTTGTTGTGTGACAGAAGCTGCAACAGTCTTGTGCAGGATTTCAAGCTGTTGAGTTATTTGGGACTGGAATTTCTGGATAAGAATTCTGTTTCCATCTTCTATTTTTTCCTTGCGCTCTGAGAAAGCAATTACAAATTGTTATTTATTTTTTAGGAGAAAATCCCTCGAATCACAACATATTTCTCAAAATCAGCACACAAACCAATCTTGGTGAATAAGCTAGACACATCTGATGCAGCATTCTCAAGCTCAGCTCGAAGCTCAAATGCCCGCTCAACAAGTGCTTTCTCTGGCAGTCAAAATGGTATACTATCAGAAAACTAGTATGCATACCCACATTGTAATCTGAATTAAATCTTAAGATCTCCTTACAAAAGAATGAAAATCCTTAAACAAGACAGTTGATCCACTAAATTAAATATAATATTCTTGAAGGGCTGCACTATGAAAATCCTTAAACAAGGCAGTTGATCCACTAAATGAATAATTGATGAGCGCTTGAAAACAGGCACAGATTAAATCGGTAAAGATCTATAAAAATTATAGGAAACTGCTTCTTATGCAGACTTTATGAGGACACAAAGTACTGAACAGACTAAAAGATATTACGTTTTGGAGTACAAAGAATGACACTTCGCTCACCAGACTTGAGAAGGTTGGATATCAGATATTCCTTCTCTTTAATCGTAGCATTTGCCTGTCTGTGTCTTTCTTCAAGATCAAACAATGCATGTTCAGTTTCATGGAGCTTGTTCTGAAGTATAATAATAAAAAATAAAAAGTAAAATTAATGCAAGGAAGGAACACAAAAGTAAACAGTTCAATTAAAGGTAAGAGAATATGTGATGTGACATAATACAATACAATACCTCAGTTTTTTCCAGTTTATCACTTAATTCTGCTGTCAAGAGCTTCTGAGAATTGTACAGTTCCTGAAGCTCCAGGAATTGCTGCTTACAAGGCACAAAATTTAATCAAACATTAAAGCAGAGCTCTCAACAGAAATCAGGAAAAATCTGCATTTGAATAATTTTGATTCTAAAATAAACCTTGTCCCTGGATTCTACATCAAGTTCCATGTGCTCTATTTTTTCAGCCATTGCCTAGAAAGGAGAAATGCGAAAAATTAACATTCTTTCCATGTCACTCAGAAGCTCTTGGGAGAATTCATCGTCAAACTAAACGGATAGAATCAAACCTTTTTCTCTGCTTCTTCCTGAAGATAGCGGTCTCTTGGTATATAGATTCCATTCTTCTCTCTCGCAGCATATACCTCTGGTTAGACATGAAATAGAATATAACATCATAAATAATGCACATGCTAAACATATTATAATCTGTGAAGCACTTATTTGACAATTGACACACATTTCAAGAAGAGGGAGTGAGCAATTGTTAAACCTTGCTTAAGCCGGTCAATTTCAGAGTACAAATCTTTGATCAGCGCAGATTTCATCATCTTCTGATTAATCTGAAATAATAACCAAATAAAACTATCATAAAAATTTGAAGGAAGACAATTAGAAAGATAAAAGGAAAAAGAATAGCATAAGAATGCAGGTGACAAGATACTGACCTCTGGCTTGTTCTTGATATTTTTGGCACGGTGTGCATAATCTAGAGTGCTAAGCGTCTCTTCTAAACAGTGGATGGAGGGCGATATTGTGGCAATTATGCAAGTCTTTGTTTTCCCTCCCAAGGAATCCCTCAACAACCTTGTTAATTTACTATCCCTGATATTCCAAGTGATATTTTTTAAGCACTTCGTCTAATTCTTTTGAAACATGTCCCAGCTGCCAATTTAAATTTATAAAACTAATTACAAATAATACCTATATGGTACGTGACCAGAGTGCTCAACCAATGCGTTGATAACACGACCAAGTGTAAGCAAGCTTTTATTGATTTCACCGGCTTCTCTTGCTCTGCCCTGAAATAATAGATATCATTGTAATAAAATCTGAAATGTCTTTATAACACAATGCATGCAGTACAGCATATGCTAGCCACCATATAACACAATGCATGCAGTCTTGCCAGCACTCCATGCAACAGTGCATATACCAAACCGAAAGAAATAGTGGTGTTTCTTACATCTCTTGCACCAGAACGCGAAATGTTCTCGGAACCAGCAAGGTCAACAAGATTAAGTTTCCCACACTTAATCATCTCCTCCCCTTCTGGAGTACACTCCTTAATGTGAATTGTGATGGAAAATATTGAGTGAGAGCGACTGCTTTGTTTGTTAAGAAGAGTCTCAGCTGTACGCCTTTTAGCAGAACCTTTCTCTAAGATTTTATAAATTTCATTCGCAGTGCATACTATCTCCTCTTCCAAGCCTCTAACAAAAACACCTCCCTTTCCATCCTCCATGAGGGCTATAGGTTTCTTGGATTTGTCATCTATAAATTTTGAGAATTCCTCTGGAGCCAAAAGATCTGTTATTTCCTCATTGTACAACTCTAGAAATGTAACTTTCATGCTATACTCAGCACTTTGAGATTCTAATATATCAAAAATTTGTCGAACAGCCCTGGGAATAACCCCTGCATCGTTAGGGAAATCCCCATTCTACAAAATGCAAAAAAAAAAAAAAACAAAATAACAAAATAACAAAAAAACAAAAAAAAACAAAACATAAATAGGATTGTTAAAAGAAATGGATAAAACAGAAAGCATATCATTTATGAATGCATACGTATACATATCTTGTGCGCGTGTGTTTCTGCATATTAAAGTGATTTGTGTAATGAAAATAAAACCTTTTTCCTTCCTCCTCCCTCCATTGTGTATGTTTTCCCCGTCCCTGTCTGGCCATAAGCAAAAATAGTGCAATTATAGCCCTCGAGAACTTCAAACACAATGGGAGAGACAGCTTGATCATACAAGTCCTTTTGTTGGGATGTTGGACCAAAGACCTAGAAAGAATTACCCCATGTTATGGTCTTCTCCACAGGAAACTAACTATAGCAATAATAGCTACTACTACAACAAAATATTATTAATGAAGAAAATAAGAACAGTTCATCCTAGCTCCAAATTATTGGCTCAAGTGAGAAAATCACTTAGTCCTGGTGCCTCACGAATCAGGTCTAAGGTTCGACTCCTCTCGGGTGCAAACAATTCCTTCGAGGTGTGTGAATATAAACTAGGAACAAAAAATAAATAAATAAATTCCATCCTCTAATGCAATCAAGATTGCATCGGGAGTCAATCTTCTGCCATTACATTGCTGATAACACTAAGAAAAGAAACAAAAATTCAAATTATAGTATAAGACAGGTTGAATTTGAATTATGTTAAAGATTCCACATTTTTGTATTTTTTTGCTTAACTTTCTCATTGATCAACCATATCATTTTTAGGGAACAAGGTAAAAAAAACCAAACCTTGTCGAATGCAAAAGTTCTGTCAATCTGCTTATTAGCTATGTTCTGAACTGCAGCAACTTCTCTTCTATTCTCATTACAAGAAATTACCACCGGCGTATGCAATCTTATCTCATCATCACTCAGTGGCCTACAATCGCAAAGCATTACCAATCCATCATTCACAAAAATAAAATCAATTAACTGTCAATTGCACGAAGAACACACACTCAACTCACCTGCATCGAACAAGAACCTGAACATTTACTCCTTTTTCTCTATCGTGCTTACTGTTTGAATTCCCATCCGCAGATCGCAGATCTCTCGCCACCTTATCACTCGACCGCGGCGTCTGAGACGGCGATAGAGAAACCAAACCTCCTTTCCTCTGTTGCACGGACTGTGAATACTCCATACCTTTACTATTCTATAAATCTCAAACTTTACCTGAAACAGCAGCACAATTGAGCATCAATTCACTGGCCAAACTCAAATCTAATATGATAACGTTACCCACAAACCCTAATTCAGCACAATCAATCAACAATCAGATTCTATCAGAAGACAAAAGGGAAATGCGGTAAATAAAATTACAGACTTACAGTGTAGATGTTCGAATTCAATCGAAAAAAACAAACGCACTGACAAATCAGACTCGGATCGGAAAACGACCGATCGAAACTAAGAATGTGCGAAGAAATCAAAGAAATTGAGACAGTTAAATCGAAGTAAAAAAAACAAAGTCACAGTTTATGAATGGCCGGCCGTTTGAGAGATTCAAATAAGTGAGAAAGATTCTTCAAACAATGGCCACGGTATCAGATATAGAGAGAGAATGTGTGCGATTTTTAGAGAGAGAAATAGAGCTTTGATGAATTGGTGATTTTTCGGCTAAAATAAAGAGAGAGCTCTGTGAGATAGAGAGAGAGAGAGGGGGATGAGTAGCTGAGAAGAGAGGGAGTACATGAATTTAGATAAAGAAACTTAAAATTTTATGCCGTTACGGAGCGTTTGAAATTTGGAAGGACGGCGTTGACGATAGGCTCTGACGGCGTTATAGACCGTTATATGTGAATGTTTTACAAAAAAATTCAAAAAATTGAAAAAAGACATTAGTTCGTATAAACGGGCTGTAATTTTCAAATTATTACAGAATTGACACTGATGTTGATATTTGAAGTGTATTTGATATTCTCATCATCTATTTGAAATTTAAAGTAATCAGGTGCAGATTTCCTGTTAATGAGGAAGAGTGGGGTCCATAGCTATGCCAGTTGTTGTAGTGCCAGATTAAATATTAATAATATTCTATAAATATATAGATATATATATGGTTTTGGGATCTAGTTGAATTCAAGTCTTAAAGATTTATTAATATGGTGCTGGGATACATTTTAATTCAAGATATTACTTACCATATGTTTTACCATGATTTATTAATAAGATAAAGACAAATTCTCATCTTTGGATTGCCCTCTACCATACCCCAAACACCCACCCACCCACCTTAAATAATAATAATAATAATAATACTAATAATAATATAATATAAATAATAATAATAATACTAATAATAATATAATATAAATAATAATAATAAAATATATAAAATAAAATAAAAAGTGAAATTTTTGGTATTATTGATTTGTTCCAAATATAGGCTAAAAATTTTTCGTTCTACTTAAATGGCATTGTGTATTAGGATAATATTTGTCTATTCACCAATAAGTAAGAACTAAGAAGTTCATATTCACTACTAATATGTCATAAACTTAAAATGACAAGTGTCCAACAATACAAAATAATAAAAATAATGGGACATTTGTTATTCTGTTTTTGCGCTACATTGATGGTAAATATGATCTTCTTACTCATCGATGAAATTTTTTATATTTTTCATTTTATACCTTAAATTTTTTATATTCAATGTCTAAATTTACAAACAACCCTCTTGAAATATATATTATGCATAATACCCTCGTGAACTATTTTGTTATAAAATGCTCTCATGCCTAGGCTATATTTCATTAAATGGCCATAATGTCACTTCTTATTGAATTACACTTAATTCATTTTTCTTATTAAAATAAATTATGAAAAAATTCATAATTGATACTAAAAAAAAATTTTAAAAAAAATTATAATAAAAAAATTAAACAAAGTATAATAAGTTTTATTATAAATAATAAAGTTTAATAATAAGTTAATCATTTTAGAAAATAGTAGTTACAACTTTATTTTTTATTTTTATGATAAATTGATACTAATAACAAAATTAAAGTAAAATGTATAACTGATATTTAGATAAGAGAAGATGTATAATAACAATAATTTAAGAAGAAATGAGAAAAGGTAAAATAGTCTTTTGTGGTGAGATTGTTCTTAATTGCGACAAATCATTAGTTCAAAGGGTTATTTACAAAAGGACAATAGTTTAAAGAGGTTAATTTTTTTACACTTTATCCTATTTTGTGAGATCATTACTAAAATTTAATAAAATTATAGGTATAAAAGTAAATTAAAAAATAATAATTCAATGGGGCCAATGTGGCTATATATATATATATGTGTGTATGTATACATCCAAAGTTCAAACCTTCCCTTGTGCATGAAACTTCTATAGCATTTTTTTTTTTTTTTTTATTGGTAAGAAACATACTTACACCCACTTTCGTTCTTACGAAGACTTGAACCATCAACCCTTTTCTACTTTAGAATATGAAAAAGTGTCATCCGGCTACAAGGCCTTTGGTAACTCCCATAGTATGTTCCTGTGCTAGAACTTGAATCATACATTACTTGCATAAAAAGATGGGGAGAAAAAAAGTTGCATAATCGGATTTAATAATTAAGATATTTACTTAAGAAAATTGGTGGTTATGGTCTATTTTTACTGTTTTATGCGAAAATTATCTTTGTTGTTAATTGTTAAAGGTATGCTAACTAATATTTTGAATGATCCATATGTATGGGTGGCAATTCCCTCCTCTCCAGCGGGTTTCTACCCGTCCAGTCCCTAATGGGACGAATTTGGTAGGTCTATAAACAGAGTAGGATAGATATATATGGTAACAACAATTGAAATCCGTCACAAGTTTGGAAAGGGGGTGTATTTAGTGTTTAACTCGTCCCAAACCCAATTATATATATAATATATAAACACATCTCACGTGAAAATGAAATATATACATATATTTTCATTTTCACGTGAGATGTGTTTATATATTCATTATTTTATATTTTTGTATCTCTCAATGAGGTATTAATTTTTATTTTTTTCTATAAATTTCACTTCTGATTTTATTAATAAGCCACTCACGTCCATTTATTTACCATAATTTAATTAACGGAGAAAACAGGACGAAGTCGGTACGCGGAGGCAAAGATGATATACGGATTAAAACTCGTTTCAAATAGGGGCAAAGTTAATATGAATAATTTTTTAACAGATAGTAAAATTTAGCCCAACTCCATTTTAATCCCGCCCCGTTGTCATCATATCTCAAAATATTAATTATGTGGGATTTGACAATTTATGTTTCAAGACACCATGGCATAGACAACACACACCTAATGGTGTTCCGTGCAACAAGAGAAGAAAAAAAATGTCTTTTACCGTTAGGCTCTGTATTCAAAAGAAAACAAAAAATTAAAGGGAAGAAAATGACTTCTCAACAAATAATTATTTTTTGTTTTGTAGAAAAAATTATGAATCACCAAACACTTATATAATTACATCGAAAAGTTAAATGAATTATTAAATACTTTTTTCAATCTAATAATTAAAATTGTTGAGAGACTCTTCTGTTGAGAGAACTCCCATCATAGAAAGATTCATAGTATTACTGTAATAAAATTGTTCCAATGTATGAAATAATGAAACTAATAACATGGTGGAATATGTATGTCTGAATGTTAGCTATAATTAGGAGTGGTATGTAGGTAAAAATGTGAAAAGATGGAGACGAAAAGTGGAAAGAATTTTGGTGATAAAAAGAGAATACAAGTGGGGTATTGCATGTGGGTGGCAAAGGTGCCCACACGTGAAAGAGAGTGATGTGAAGCCGGCACATGCCTTAGGTGCCTTGACGCCCTTTCCTTCCCCAGCTAAATTACTCATCTTGCCCTTGCTTTCTCTATTTTTAACTCTTCGACCAAATTCTTATAAATATTTAGTATAACATTAGGAATGCCTAATCAACTAAATCGAGCCGAGCTAGAGTCTGTTTGAGTTTGACTCATTTTTTTGTAGACTTAGTTTGAATTTGATTTGAAATTGTAATTCAAAAAGTTGAGTTTGGACTCGACTCTTCTAATAATAAAAGTTGTTCGAACTTTATTTAAACTCGTGTTTAAGATCGTTTTGAATCGTTTATAAACTTATAAGGATTTAAACAAACTTATGTTAATGAACATGATCATGAGTTTACGTTTATGAACTTATACAAACTTATGTTTGTTAGGGCTAGCATAGGTTGCGTAGCGAAAGTGGCACGAACAAAATCAATATAACGAATTTGAAAAAGTACGACTGATCGGACTTTTTCAAAATAGCATAATCGTACATGAACAACGAGACCATTAAAATCCAACCAAAGCAATAAAGTATCCTCGAAACATTGCACAACACAAGATTTACATGGTTCACCCGTATTATGGGCTACGTCCATAAATGGTGAGATCTCATTATTATGATGAGGAGATATTACAATTTGTAGAGAATTATGAACTCCTACACTCACTCTCTCTTAGACCTTTACCTGTGTAATTTGCCTACCATGCAAGACGCCCTCTCATCTTCAGTGTGTTCACTCTACCAAACCAAACTCTCTCTACCCATCAACCATCAACTCAATACCTCGAGAGGCTATACCTTTACGAACTACGTGTATTTTCACTCACACCTTTCAACAATACCTAAGTACCTATTTATAAAGTCTCATACACAATTCTTTGGTGGATAAGGATTACAATTTCTTAGTGGCCAAAATTTGCCTTACAAGAAATTTTTATAAAAAATTAACTCTAAAATAAAAACATAATTCTAATTAATAGGAATATGAGCCATAATTCCTAAATGTGTACAAGTCTATACCAACTCGTGTTCACGAGCTTTTAGACTAGGCGAGTTCAATATTGTTCAATATCGGCTCGTTTACTAACAAATCTGAATATCAAGCTCAAACACAGCTTGTTTACTTAATGAATAAACCCAAGCCAAGTTCTACGCGAGTCAAGTGTAACTTATTCATGAACAACTTGATTCATTTACAACCTGATTATAAGGATTATTTGTTTATTTATTTATTTTAGGAAATTGTTTCATTGTTTTTGAGAATAATTGTTGTTCATGCTTATTTTTATTTTTATTTTATTTTATTTTATCAAGTTCGTGTTGAGAAAAATTAACTCCCTCCAACCCACTCAACGGTCGGCTGTTGTTGAGAGTTAAATCTTTAACTCCTTCATCACACACAATAGAAGCATCATCACATCACATCAACACAAGCATATATGGAGATAACAATCACAAACATCCACGCACAACACAATATTTTACATGATTCACTCAACTCTAGGGTTACGTCCATGAGAGAGAAAGATTTCACTATTATAAATCAAGAAAGAAAATATACATACAATCACATGTCAAAACTCCACTCACTCACTCATCATCTTTTATGAAGCTATATGTATATACTTGGGAATTACATATACTCACTTCTCTCCTCACAACACTCACTCTTAAATCCCTTACATCTTTTCTTTCTCCTCTCTCTCTAAACCCATCACACCAGTTTGCACCCTAAATTTAATTTTTAATTTAGACACATGGTGTTGGTTGATTGGAAGAAAAAATATTAATTCAGCCACATGTCATTAGTTGATTGGAAAAAGAGAAGTGTCATTTTAGTAATAATAATTTAATATTATTACCTTAAAAGACTCTTTTAT